TTCTATTCTAGCAAACTCAAATGGAAACCAATCTGCTTGATCTATGGCATTTGTCACAAGAAATTAAGTTGGAGCAACAAGATATCGACGACAGCGTGGAAACCTTGAAAAAAATTCGTGCCTCTGTCTTCCAAAATGGAGCACGTTTCTGAATGTCAGTTGAAAACGTGCGAACCGCGATCCAAAAACGCCGACATGTCCCTGGGCGCCTCTTTTTCTCGTGTATGTGTTTGGAATACGGCTCGGTTAATAATTAGTATTCCTCATGTAATTAGATCTCGTCCGTAATTTTTGGTGATGCATTCAAATTATAAAACACCGTTACGCGATTAAATGAAGATAAATCCCACGCGCGCGTCAGTGTAACGTCAGTTCGCCAAAATTTCCACCTTCGCGCCAATTGCACACCTCATCCATGAGTCAACTGTGAACGTAAGCAAATATCAATGATTTTACAGTCCGATGCGTTTGAAGGAAGTAATTCAATATCTTTGGAATTTCTTAATGGTAAAAATGCGGCAATTGCACAAGCAACATTAGCACCTTAATTTGCAATGCATGTAATAAATAAACAAATTACACTGAATAATAAATAGGTTCTCATGACTCAAAGCCTAACCCATTTTAACGCAATTTTAAGAATAATTAACTGCATATTTGAAAATAATATAGTTTTCGTGCCGAAAAATCAAGTTTGATGTTCTTAACTTCTTACAACAAAACACTTTAATATTTTTTTATTTGGGGAGATACGATCGCATATTGAAACTTCCGGTTTAATCGAAAATCCATGCAACTTTTGTTTTTCAAATGCAATGCTTCTTTTTGTTAAGATATTTGAAAAATTGTATCAATTGTATCAAAGCATATGCATATCTTATGTTTTCGTACAGCAAATTGATTGCTCTTTTCAAATTCCTTAAAAAACAAAAGCATTGCAATTGAAAAAGAAAAGTTGCATCGATTTCCTGTTAAACAGGAAGTTTCAATATGCGATCAGATTTTTAGCTTTATTTTTATTGTGAACTGTTGGGAAAAATCCTAAATTGGTCGATTTTCATTCTTAATTGAGCAATTTAAATTTAAATATTACCCCCTCTACCGCTCCCTCTAAACTTTTAAATTCATAAAGGGGGTCGCAACGCGATTTCAAACATTCTTATCGCAATGACGGATAAACCTATTAATAAAACGCTCAAATACAACCAGATGTTCCTACCTTTTAACACGTAATTTCACTTTTACAATTAAATAAACAAATCAAAATAAACAAATTACAAGGCGATTAATTTAAACACAACCTAAAAATTTAAAAATGAAAATATCGAACTGGGTGTTGCCTTACAAGTATGATATGCTGTTTTCCGCTGCTAAAAAATAAAGGTTGTGCGTGCGGTATCATTCTTTTATATATAAACGAAGCCTACACGAAGAAATCTAGGATGGGGCAAATTTTGAATCACACTTAGTATATGACTGCTAAGTGCCAATACTTCTGATGTGTCTATTACTAGGTGCATTTTAAAACAAATTCCATCAAAATTGCATAAATTGTTCTAAATTGCATTGAAAATGCGTAAAATTCACTTCTGAGGCACCCAAACAAAGTCTGAACGTTCTCGCTCCGAATTGGATGTATATATGTATTTATAAATTACGATTTTTAGCGCATTGTTTAAGAATTAAAAAAAATTACAAAAATTAAAAATTAATTTTATCTCTCATTGTATTGGTCTCAACGAAAGGAATTTATTTATACTAACTGTCGAGTCCGATCCTGGAAACCAGAGGAGGTCGTTATTGCGCAGAAGCAAGAATGAGTGACGTTGATATATTGAAGCTTTGCATAACTTTTGTCTTGACATGCATTTGTAGCAGTCGCATTTTTTGTTCTTGTATATTTTCACGTTTGGTTTGCAATTAAAACATTTTACTACAGTCCACAATTTTATTATGAGAGCTACGTCGAAACACTAACCATAGTCTTCTTCCTCGATCCCTCTTCGTGATCGGTTATAATTCCTTATATCTTAAGACTGAATTGTCAAAGGAAAGTACCTACAAAGGGCGATTGGGACGTTTGGAAGAAATATAACCATTGGGCATTTAAATAAAATTTGATACATAGCCACTTGGAATAAAAGCAAATGTAGCGCCATTTTCCAAATTTGGTTTTGTGCAGGATGTGCAGTGCCAACTTTCTTATTTATGGAAGAAATTTCGTAGGGGTGTTTAAAAAAATGCGCTTTACCTGCACAATGGTTGTGCACAATTTGTACTTGTTTTATCTTGGTTCAGGTAATAATAAACAAGTAATCCCTCTCACAGACTGAAGTCTATTTCTCAGACCATTATTTAACGGGAGTCCGTTAATGATTTGATTCGAATTTTACTTCTTTTTTTCCGATTTTGTGTATGTGGGCGAGTGGTCCTTAAATTTAGGGGGGGGGGGGGCGAAGTGAGACGTAAGATATGTCGCGGTTGGTTCGGATTACAGTGGGATTTTGTTTATTTTGCAGTCGTCGTTATCGAAACTGCTGCGTTGCGTTAGAATTGCTAACGGAAAATTACTCCACGTGGAATTTACCCGTCAAGGAATCTGATTTGATGAGTAAAATAGTTTTATTGGTTAAAAAAGAACAGTAGTGGGAAGTAGGTTGTTCGCGTGGTACTGCGATAGAGAATGTGCGTTGAAGGCTTGAACCACGACCGATGTCAAGCTAACCATCTGTAATTTACCGTAGGGTGGATTTTAATTCGCGCGAATGTGTCAGCGAAGTTATGTCGGTCACCTCACCGTGGGTGGTTTTTTTAATTTTGTACGATTTTTAGCGTTGAGCCGCGAGCAAAGAAAGACCCTACCACCTGTAATTTAGCGAAAGGTGTGTTTTATTTGTATTGGAACAACTCGCGTGGAGCGGCGAACGGACATGAGTGAACAATCGGAAGTTTATCGCAGGGTCGATTTATTTCCTGTCCTGTCCTGCCGAAGCAAAGCTTGGTGACCTTCATATTCAAGGGATAACGTGCGAATTGAGAACTATTACGATAAATACGAACGATAGAAAATTTGTAATTCTTCTCGCACTTCTTAAGCGACCGATGGAACGTAATAAATATTTATTCTATATGACACTCGGTTTACGTAATTTTGAGTAATGGGGGTTTACAGTATAGTTGAATTCCGTAGTTCTAATTTAAGAAGCGTGTACCTGAAACCATAAATCATTTTTTTTGACAGTAAAAGTTTATTTAAAAATAGAGGCTGATTAGCAAAAAAATTAACATGTCCGGTTTTAAGGGTTTATTCAAAACGATATGATTGTGGCGGACTCTGTGACGTAATAAGCCCGACCAATCAGCTCTTAGAACCATTCAGATGATATAACGAATTGGCAATATTGCAGGAGAATGTCATTTGTAACTTGCGTCACCTGTCACGGGCACTTGTCACTTGTCGTTCACTTTCGCGTTAGATGCAGTTAAACATGCCTCTTAAAACGTCAAATCCGAGAAACGCTTCAGACCCTCGCACAAGGTTGCCGGCTCACTTCTACGTGATTGGTTGTAGGTTTGTGACGTATTTAGACTGAAGCGTTTCAAATTTGGACTAAAAACACAGTTTTTCAATAATTTATTTTGGGTTTATTTTACTCGCAAATAAAAATTGAGGACACATTGATCTTTTTATTTTTAATGTACTTTGTAGATCAGAAATAGAAAATGAAGCCCCCATTGTATTAGAACTTCAAAATCAAAGGAGCCATCTCTGGAGTCATTTTAGACTGGTGTGGACCCAGCTAAAGGAAAAAGTAAAGTTTTTTTCCCCATTTGAATGTATACTTCATTCATTATAAGAAGGTGGTAGATGGCGCTGTGTTTGAAGATCGACACACACAGGAAAAATATAAAACGGCACAAAATTTGAAAAATATACATATAAATCAAACAATATCACGCTTGGATCTTTGAAATTGACAGCTAATGACAATTCGACAGTTTAGTTCGTAACTGAAACTTCTAAAAGACAGAATTCGTCACTCGTTTTATATTTCAGGGTAATACTGACTGATACTGACTCGTGTTTTAACCAATCACAGTGAAGGTCAAACTGTCCCTATGCTTTCTACCGCTACCTTCTTAAAATGAATAGCGTATAGTAATGGCTAACGAGAATCCACCAGATTCATTTTTTTTTCAATTGTAAAATATTAGTAAAGGGAATAGTAACTAGAACTCAAGTAAGTGCTAAGTTTAGTTAAAAAAGTGTCCATTCTAATAATACCGTACATCCTCAGTACTTGAATTTGACGTAAAATTAATATTATGTTTGGTATTGCCACAAAGATCTGAAAATAAACCCCTTCAATAAGGTTGGGCCCACACTCTATTTAAAATTTACGAATAAACACAAAGTGTGATCGTTTCGTTTGGATTTGTATTTGTTTTTCTTTTTAGAAATTTGTTTGATGAGTAATTTTTGTTTTAGTTTTATTGCTCTTGTAAATTGTTCAATTTAGATAAGGCGCTAGAAGTGAGACACATCTGGTCGTTTGCAATAAGAAGTTGTATTTTTAGGCGAAATTCAATGCGCATGTGGTTCTGGTAAGAAGATGCAGGTGTCTTACGAAGTGTGCGCGTTTTTCGGCGTAAGTGGGGACACGGGACGCGTTCTGTCGATTGTCGAGGCTGGCGTTATTCCAGCCAGTCTGATTGGCGGTTTATGTGAAAATTCATAAAGGAGATTATTTATGAATGCCGGACGTGTACAGGAAAAAAATATCAAATTCTAAATTGATTTGTGTGACTTGTATGAGCTAGCTGGACAGGTGTTTGATGGATGGATTAATTATCGAGGGGGAGGGGAGATCCGCCCTTTTGTACTGCAGACTTTTCGGAAAGTGTTTTCAACATTTTACATCGATTCGTCTTTCAAAGTGCACTCGACTACAAATTGTCAGCAGAAATGTCTAACTAAAACTAAAATAAAAACGCCCATATTAAATGCTTGTATTGATATCTTAGCAAATGAACACGAGAAGAATGCCTTCCGACTCCTTCAATTCTAAAATTCTACGAAAATAAAAAAAAGTTTCTATCACTAAATGGCAATAGCGCTTAAAAAATTATTTGGTGTAATTTCACTTCACCGGATTCTACACGGGACAGTTCGGATTTCGCCAAAAAACTACGTTAACGGTTAAGTTAAAAAAAACTACACCTCCATCTTTTTTTTAACGCATTCGTTTTTAGTGTACCGTTGAGTTAGAAAGTGTTTACGAATTTTCGCCCATATCTCAAGCTTTTTGAGGCACTCGCAGCTCATCGGCTCGTTGTTCTCAACGTGCAAGACGATTTGAGGCGATTTCAGGTCATAGAGCGCGGAAACGTCCAAGCAGCTCAACTTGTTGCCAGACAGTGACAGCACGAACAGTCGTTCAAAACTCGACAGTATCGTTCCGTCGAAGTCGGTGAGATTGTTGTCGTTCAACCAGAGGGCGTGCAATAGACTTAGCTTCCTAAAGGCCTGAGGATGAATGTACATTATTTGGTTGTTTGATAAACGAATGACTGTGGAGCGGCCGTTTTTGAGTTTGTTAAACGCGTTCGCCGGGAGTTTTGTTAGCTGATTCGAATCGATCGACAGGTGCTCCAAGTTGTATGTGTTGGTAAACCAGTCGTTATTCCAGTGTTTCAGCTGGTTGTTATCCAGGTTTAGCAGTCTCAAGTTGGGCATATCGTCGAGCGCCGTATTTTCAATGTACGAGATGTTGTTGTTGTTTAGATACAATTGGGCGACTCGCAGATTGTTGAAGATGCCGGTTTTTATGTAGACCAGTAAGTTGTTGCGTAAAAATATGGTATTAATGTATGGTAGAATCATGAAGGCGCCTGGGTGTATGTCCTGGACTTGGCAGTGCTCAATTTTGATCATTTGGAGTACCACCATGTTCTGTACGGCTCCGCTGTACAGTATCGGAAGCTTCTGGTTACTAATCTCGATTCCAACGGCCGGTCGTAAGACGCCCTTTGGTGTAAGGCACCCCGTTACGTCAATGATAAACGAGCTTGGTTCAAGTAGCAAAGAAATATTTTGGAGGGGCTCCGCCGATACGTCAATGACAAATTTTGAACTTTTTGTTACACTCACTGGCGTTTCCGAGAAGGATTTGTCTCCACAATAATAATTGACCGGATCTTGCCATATTAGTGTCGACGAAAAACCCGACAGTAATCCCAAAAACACTGCCGCCATTGCGTAGAAGTGGTCGCGCACTAAATCATTGCTTGGATTATCTTCGATTGATACCCATGACCTACTAAATAAAGGGTACGAAGGTTAACTTGATTAGGACTACTGTGATCTACATGTAGTAAGTAGGCTATATTTAATTAATTGGCGGAATAATCTTCCTTCCGCATTACGCATACCTCATCATCTTAACTTAACAACAATCGTGGTAAACATTTTGTAAAGAAATCAGTCGAGTCATCTAATCGTGAGCGGTTGTACACACTACAAGGGCAGCGTAGTTAGGTGCGATTCTTCCGGGTTTGTTAGCTTCCGTATTTTTTTTGTCCGTCCGATACTACAGATCTCATCAGTAATGAGTCGACGTGGTATTAGTCTTCCTGGTTTATTATTTTATGAGAACGCAAATGCAAGCGATATTGGCGATAATTACTGATTTTAAGGAGCGCAGTTCATTATTATTCCCAAGGTGTAGTCCATTGTAAGCTGCATTTGTCTCCGAGTGGGTAATTTACCACCTACATTGCAAAATATAAAAATAAATGCGGGTTTTGGTTTTGTATACTAACAGTATATTTTAAGACTGAAGGTTTCACAATTTGGTACAGTTTGGTTTAAACGTGTAAGCTATCTTTTTTCAATAATCTAAAAAAAAGCGTATTCGCCAACAAGGTAACGTCATTGATCCCACGCTGTTTGGAAACAAAGTCTCAACGTAGGTACGTAGGTATAGTGAACAAATTAAATATAAATATTAGTTGAGTTTGCGCCAAAAATACAAAGAACTTATTTTCATTCACTTACTTGTCAAAATAACTTTGAAGTCAGTTAATTTCTACAGCACTTAAATATAATACTGTTGTTAATAATACACTCTAGATGACCACTGCTGTCGTCCTTCAAATTGATTGAGTTAAAACTTATAAATCAAATTAGGGGCCGCATTAGCAGAACTAATTTAATATCGCACCTGGTCAGCCTCGAGGGGGATCATGGGGACATTTTTTTTAAAACAACTCAAGGGTCGGAATTATTGATGTTTGAGCAAAGTCTTCGAAAGGTTCAAAATTTCTCTCAGCCTCCTACAAAAATAGAATGGAACAATAGGTTTTTGGGCAGATCTCTTTCGTATTCTCCGAACATTCTTTTATCATGACGGTGCACCTCTAAATGTGAGCGCGAGAACATTTTGATTTCGACAAATTTTACCTTTTGGTGACCATGACCGTGAAATTGCAATGGTTTTTGTTGTAATAAAGGGTTGAAACTTCCCTTCATTTAACAAAGTTTTGACATTCTGAACTAAAACTGTACAAAATAAAATGAAGTACAATTCTCCCTCGGTCAGCCAATTATTTATTAAATTTTATCCTTTTTGATGAAATGACTGCTTCCTAAATTTAAAAAGATTCATGTAGCATCAAGTCAATATTGTTGATTTTGGAGGACTTTTTGAAATTCAAGCGCTCAAAGGATTAGTTTATTTCAGATTCGCGATTTTCATGTTTAAAACCCCCCAGATACCAAATTTCGTCGAAATCAAAATGTTGTTTCGCACCCCCATTTACGTGTGCGTCCTTTCGTGCTAGGAATTTTCATTTTTATTTTGCAAAACCGAAATGAGCATACTCAAAAACCGACTTAAAAGACTTGCCACTAGTAATCTTCTATGTTTCTGAGAAAAAAATTAAAGAAAAAATGAAAGTGCTTGTTTTCATCGCCTCTGTTCTTAACATCTAGGTACAGCGGTATAGCTGGATAGTATAATAGAGACGTGATCACATGTCTACTATCAAGAAAATGCATTTGGAAACTCGCCGATGACGAATTCTTCCGATACACGTAGGTACCGAAGCCTATCTTGAGGAATTAATGGCAGAGATTATTGCGTGAGCAAAGGCACAAATTTTTTCTTTCATCCTTCAGAGGAATAGCAGTTGTGATTCAACAACAAACTTGTGTGCAAGTAGATCACAGGTAATTGGTATAATTGAAGCAAAATTTTTGCAACCGGTAATGTAGAAACCCATATATGACGTTCTTGACTTGTTAGATGGCGGTGGACCTTCACAAATGAATGAATGTCGATGTAGAAATCACAATGAGGTAGGTAATAATGAAGCTAGAAGTAAGAGAAAAGAAACCTAAACAAATATTCAAAGCCCAGGGTAATGGCTAATTGTTTTGTTACATACTGAATACATCTGAAAATGCGCCAGTGAAGTGTTGGAAGCAAAATAATAAGAGAAAAACTTCACTAAACTTATACAGCACCAATAACACAGAAAAAGGCTGACAAAATTGTCGAGTAACTGTAATGGCGTGTACGTTCTTGCAAGTAATAATCGAATCTCGTTTCGTACGTGCGCCGAAAGAAATTAAAAAAAAAACTGCACGACCTCGGACGGCAAAACAAATAACTAATTGTATTAACAAATCCACTAGCGAAAATAGGAACTAGGTAGGTACATCTGAACTAGTGAAAGTGAACCCCTAGATGGCGCAAGAATACTAAATTTTAAATACGAGTGAAAAGAATTTAAATAAGAATACAAATCAAAGGTTACTTAAGCAGAATTCAAATTGGTGATATCAAACGGTAAGAAAATAGCGTTACAAAACCATCTAAGCAAGTGGTCGAGATTATCCGATTTAAATACGGCCCAAGAAATAAAGTATCTAATACCAATTGATAAAATGTTCAGCAATAACACTTAAACATAAATGAAACTGTCGCCCCACTATCCGTCCTGAAAATTTGATTCTATTTATTCTCACAAGCACTTTAATTTTTTGTTTAGAAGTATACGTTCGGATTGACTACATTATAAGACTCAAGATTTATTGGGTTCGTAAACGCACTTGAAATTTTTTTAAAATTACATATTACAAACACCTTAGAATCTAAACTAACCTAACGTCACCTAAATTAAATTTACCCTAAGAAATGTACTGTGTATGAAATACTACAGACGAAAATAGAAAGAAAATGCCACACACTCGTATGGTCTTGACCGCAAGCTTGTTAATTGTTGGTTCTGATGATAATGTTCAGTGCACTTACTTAAAAAAATTCGTAATAAAAAATGCTACTCAATACAGTATGTGCTTTTTTAGGGCCATATAGAAAAATAAGGTTCATTATGATTTCTTCGAAACGAAACGTTCGCGACGAACTCTCTAGTAAGCACAGGATGGGTGCTTGTAAATCAAACAGTAATTAGCAAAAATGAAATTTAATTACTGATTTGACAATCGGTAATGTTTCCGGCAGCGATGCTGGCGTAGGGACTGTGGGGAGAAACGGACGGATCTCGAGCGCCACCAGACGGATGCGGCCTTGCCCCTGGTTAAGGATTCGGAACGGTCGGAAGATGTCGGATGCCACATTTGGAGACACGGCAAACAGTGAAAAGCTGTAATAAGCTCACGGCCAAAGCAAACTAAAAAAAGAATCAAAGCTCAAAATTTAAACCGGTAATTAAGTACCGAAAACGGTTATGACTTAACTGTGCTTTGCACAATGCAAAATAGTCACGTAAGCTACGGTGAAATTAATTTCGAAACGAACATATAATCTTGTAGAACAGATCGAAATCGATTTGCTTACAACACTCGCAAACGGTGCAAAGCCAAAATATTCCCATAAAATCAATCGTGTACCTGATAAAGAAATCCGACTTTTTGGGAAGTGGTATATCGGAAAAATATGGGAAAGATATCAAACTTTTGAGATAAAGTCACTCAATTATAGAAAGTACCGCAATTATCCGCCATTTTTGGGCAAATTTGCTGCCAACTTTAAAAAATTGACAAATAAAATCTGAATAGCTGTAATTTTTTATAACCTAACTTCATAGTACTGTCATGTTTTATAAAAATTTATACAGATATCTCCAAACAGGTGGAACAATCCCTAACATTAAAGTTACTAGAATCTGGTAACTTCCGCCATTTTTGGGCAAAAATCATGCGTTCTCTCTCTAACACACGAGCCCAATGGATTGCGGTACTTTCTATATTTAGTGACTTTATTTTGAGACTACTTTGAACGCCGTCTGCTGGTGTTTTCTACAACTCATTAAAACGTCAGTCATTAATTATGCTTACCCAATTACTCATTAATGCAATTACCAACTAGGTCTAATTGTAATTTTCCCGGCACAGCGACTGCTATATCTACACACATGCACGTCCCAAGACTGATAACGTGTAAATACCTCGATTTGGAACTCGTCATATCCTTCTTTTCACTTACTATCGGAATCTAAAATCGGTCGTTAATTACCCAAGGAAGCTAAAATTCTTAAAATATTAATTCGGTGTCATGTTCCCCATATCAAAGGCTGTCTGACGTCTCCACGAGATCAATTAGAACACGGGTGAATTAATTCTGACATGATCGGCTTCAATCACTTTAAAACAAATTTCCGACGTCTTTAATACTTTAACTGTTTAATAGCGCAACTTTAATTTGACCATCTTTGTATCGTACGGACACAGTGTATATTTTCAGTAGGTAGGTAGTATGATTGAGCCTAGAATAAACTTAACTTTAAGAAAACCTTGATGCATTGAGTCGATGATTACATGGGAAACTCATTGCGAGAGATTCATACGGGTTATTCAACTGTCTCAACCGATTAGCACAGACCGCCGTGTACACCCGAAAGGGGAAGGGGCACATATCGCATCTTCCATGAATTGTATTTTTTCCAATAGATAAATATTGTACTTATGATGCATGGATAAAATGCTACTCATCTGTAAATAAGTTACACATATAGAAAACTACTTACTACTATATTATGATATTGCAAACACATACATGGTTTTCTGTCAACATTTTAATTTTTTAACGTTTATTCAAATAGGTATGTGCAAAAACATATTATTTAAAAAAGAAGTTGAATCTCACACTTCGACGGAATTACATGAACTTTTTATTAAGATTGCCTTTGCCGGGCTTCTTCCCCAAATTGTTCGATGTTCTGCTTAAAACGCTTAATTTAATTAATTTAATTTTGCTTTTTTCGTGAATTCCAAGTCATCAATTTAAAAACGAGTAATAAAGTGGATATCGCTTGCTTCAAGCTGCAAAATTGTACGGAATGTAAATCTTAAATGGCAATTAATTTATAAGCAAATAATCCAGTTTGTTGGCTACTCCTGGAATATTTTTTGTAGCAGCACAGATTTAAATAAGTATATTTAAATCTGTGGTAGCAGTTTGAAGAATTCCTGCCATTTTTCTCAAGATCATCAATTCTAAAATATTATTTCCTTGTGATCGGAACTGAATGAAAGAACGCATTTTTACGTCACGAACAAATGAAAAAGAGCTGTCAGTTTTTTAGACTCGACAAAAGTTCAAGTGTGTGTGAAAGAACGTAAACGAACAGATTTTCGCCAAGTTAGTTCCTTTACTTTATTCATTTAGTTCCTGCTCCATTCACGTTGAATAACGACTCTTTTTGTTTCAGTAATTAACAACACTGGGGCGCAAAGAAAATTATTCCAGCGCCGCGATGGTGGACTATTACAAAGTCCTTGATGTGCCACGCGGTGCGAGCACTGCTGACATTAAAAAAGCGTAAGTAAACTTTTGATAAGAGAATCCTTTATGTTAATTACGAATGAATCATTAGATTAGTAATCTAATTTTTTAAACCTTGTCGGTATTTCAAGAACGTTTGGGTTTACGCTAATTATCTTCACGCTTAAATTACGTTTACGTAATGGCAGCGCTAGGACTGTGAAATTTGATCTAAGAATAGAGTGAATGAATATAAATTGTCTGAATTAACGGACATTACCTTGCGTATCATTTACAATTAAATGTCATGCGTATGTGCGTTACATAAAAAGAGATTGGGTTATGAAAAAAAATTAATTGTTAATTTATGCAATTGAGTTGCACTTTGTCTACGCGCGCAATGTAAATGTTAATGAACTTCCTTATTTACACTATGTTACTGACCTTTACAAATTTAGGCCAGCGTAAGTTTATTAAATTGACATTAATTATTGCAATCGTACTATTTGCAAACGACACAATCTGTAAAGGTAATTGCGAAATGTTTATGAGATTGTTTGCATCATCAGCCAAGGTTCTGGAACATTTTTAGCCGAAATTCTGGAGTTGCGAAATTCGACGGTGAAAGTCGTAATTCAATGTTGTTCTGGTGCAAGTGCGATTCATTGCTGTTCTGTTTCACAATCCTTACTTGGCATTGGAACGTCATTCTATTGCCTACAGTACCATTTCTTCCTCTTTCGTTCAAGTTCACTGCTAAAGAATCTGTTAGTACAGCTGGTACAGCGTTTTCTTAAAGTTTGACCCCACGTGACTGCATGTGCTTAGGCAACTAAAGATGCACGCGTGCCAACAATAGTTTATCCCCCCCCCCCAAAGTTATAGAGTCCTTAAAAAATCAAATCATTATGGAGTGGAGGGGGCAATTTTACGCAGCGTTCTGAAAGGGTAGATCATCAATACGTCTAAAGTTCGTGAACAGTCATTAAAGTGGTTCCGCGAAAAATCAATGCAAGAAAATGTTCTCAAATAAAAACTCTCAATATTGTCTATAGTAACCAATAGGCAATACTATTACTGGATATAAATTTTACAACAAAATCTTATAAATAGTTGCATATTTTGTGTTGGGTCATTGGGTGCCAACTGCCAAATAATAATTGCCAAATAAAAATAAAAAAGTTTTTGAAATTTGACCAAAATGTTTTTTGGACTTGCCTTATGAACATAACAAAAAACCTCATATATGGAGGGGGGGGGGGTTGCGCAACATGCCGTCATTTTTGAATTTCAGCTCCCTTTTTTTTGTTTTCCCTCAATATCTCGAAACTATTAACTTTTTCATAACCACATATTTACAAAATAAGAAGCTCATCAAATTTCCTACAAAAAACGTATAAAAAGTTATTTTCTAGCATTGCATTAGTTTATTTACCCATTTGGGAGACATATAGATGAATAAGTAAAACATCCAGGAAGTCTAGGCTCTCCACCATGACGTCAATAAGCTTCTCCGACAAGCCTGGTTTCAGCGCTCAGCCAGGAAAATTAAACCAGACTAATATTAAAAGTCCAACCGTTTTTATATTTTTGGGTTAAATGTAAATGTTCATAATAAAAAGTTTTAGTGATTTTCAAGGGCCATCGAACACTTTATACAGAACTTCTACCAAAAATATCAAATACATTCTGTAACGGGAACCCGCTAACGCTTTTTAATTGTTTCGATTTTTTTAAATTCTTATTTAAATAGTAAATAGAAAACCGTAAAGAATCGGTACCCTCGTATCCTGCAAGTGTTTTTAATTTTTATCGTAAACTGCAATCAAGTGGTGGAGCAGGAGCGCCGCAAGTTGATGTGTTCAGAGAAAAAGGTCTACTTTCCTAGGAGGTTATTGCTATGAAATTTATTCATTGTGAGCTAGCCGATGGTACAAAATTCTCTTTGTGAAAATTTAGCATTTTAAATTCAACATATGTTATTGTACAAACTGTGGGGAGGCTGTCCAGAGTTCTATTAAAAGCTCGTTCGCCGCACAAGAAAATCTGTTTTATTTCTTAGTGGCAAAAGTAAGAATCCTCCAGGGTTTTTTATTAGGTATAAGTCGACAGATTTAACCTTGTATAACTTTCATATCTTGGGGGGGGGGGGATCGTGAACTCTAATTAGAACTCTCAAATTTAACCAAGAAATGGTTCTAAATATTTCATGGCACTTTTTTGATTATAAGGTTCCTCATATGGTAGTGCGGAAACTTTTAGAACTGACGAAGGGCTGCAAAGGACTCTAACCGGGACTCGTAAGCCCCCCCCCCCTCCAAGAAAATATGTGTTTCTAAAAACTAAATTAGAAGCCCTCCACAGTTAGGTTATAAGGTAGCATGGTGTATTTATCGATGTTTACTTAATTAATGGGGACTTTCAAACTCTACGCTATATATTGCAAGAAATATCAAGCCATTAGAGAAATTCACATTTTCGAGAGATTCACAATTAAACTTTTACATCGCCACTAGACGATCTTTCCGACTTTTGAGAGTATCAAAGTACCTTCCTCCGACACTCCGTTCTGTCGATATTTGCACTGAAAGTGTTAACATCATGTCTCTTCCTGACGTTCCACTTGCCCTTTATGAGTACCCTCTTCCGACAAATCGTTTTCAAGATATTCGCTTCGACTTCACTAAGAAATATGTCTCGTCCAGACGATTCATTTTGCCTTTGTGAGTACTTTCCTCCGACAAACCGTTTTCGAGAATATTCTTCTTAAAGTTTGGACATCACCAATGGATATATTTCTTGCAGACGTCCCAATCGCCCTTTGTGAGTACCCTCCTCCGACAATCCGTTCTTGAGATATAAGGAATTATATCCGATTACCATAAGGGATCGAAGAGGAGGACTATTGTTGGTAGAAATTAATTCCTTTCGTTGAGTACCTACCATGAAGGATAAAACCAGTCCTCCCCAAACCCCCTCTTTGGTAAGAAAAAAGGACGGTAGTACATGGAAAAGAGTTCCTTTTGTTGAGACCTTTAATTATAGAATACCATGAAAGATGAAATTACTCCCCCCCCCCTTTCCTTTCACTTACGATTACGAAGAATATCATGAAGTGTAGAACGTGCCCCCCCCCCAAACTTTTGAAAAGTTTTACTTGGCACCCCTAAAGGCATGCGTATGCAAAATCTGAGACCAATTGGTTGTCATATGTCAATATGTCACAGCAAAATTTGGACGTCTGGCACACCTTCCAAGTATAGACTATTTATTACAAATAATTCCAAGACTCTAGGACAATTCCCCTAAATGTAGTTCAAAACCGCAAAAGTGGGTTCGGACAAAACGGAAACAATAGCACATTTTTTTAATTTTTAAAAAATGCGCCACTTGTGTCCGTCCCTACAGCTGTGTCACTATGACATCTTTATATTAAGAGCTATTGCCCTTCTATTATTTTCTTTGATTACTTATGTGCACGTGTTAAAAAATAGATGACACATGCGCAAATACAACTTTCCTATCTATGAACGATTTTTTTTTTAAATTTTAAGGGTGTTTCAACAAAATATACACTTTTCAATCACAAACTAATAGACGCAAAAAATTATTACTCAGGCGCAGACTTACATTTCTTATTTGTGACCCAATTTTTTTTTTTAAATTTTAGTACCTACATTGATGCGTGAAAAAATATATTTTGTATGCTATCATTCGCTCGCGTAAGAGATAGGTACGGGGGAAAATAAAAAAATTGTCAATTTCAGAATGGCTCTTTCTTTTAGTTAAACACCAAAGTAAATTTATACATAATAGTTTTTGAATAATCTGCGGTTTTCAAAATAGTGGACGGGGTCAGATATAAAAGTTATAAGATCTAACCTCATTTTCTAAATGGAACATCCTGTATATTTGAATCTAAAAAGATAATTATAATAAAACGATTGCCTTATATTATTCAAAAAAAGGAAAGAATGATTTTAACCAAAACATCCAAATTAAGAGGCGAAGTTCAGTAGCAATGCACTCCTCCACTTAACCCCATTACTACATGTATTGTCATGTATTTAACTAAGCAAAAAATATTTAAAACCAATACCAACATACTTAAAACCTTTAGCAGATAACATATTATATTCTTTTTGAAAAATATAATATTGAAAAAAATATTCGTAATAAAAAAAATCAAAGAAGATTCAAAAAGATTAAAGAAAGATTAAAACTAAAACTTTTAACTAACAAAATATGGTTTCATTCTGAGATTTACAATTTTTGGATTTTCACTGTACTTCTTCAGCTAGCAAACATTTTCAAATTTTGATTTTACCATTTTAAGTTTGATCCAAAACTAGCACATGACGCCTATATTACTTTTTTGATAGCAGCAACAATTATAGAGATACTTTATAAAATTATCGAAAATGGGACACCCTGTGAAACGTATCTACTCAAAATCCGTCCTAGGAGAGACCGTTCGAATACAACGTTTTCATCGGATGGCCGTTACAAAAATTCTCCTTCCGATTTAGCAACCCCCCCCCCCCCCATTATATCGTAGGTTAACAGAAAAATTGCCTTTGTTTCAATATGGGAAAATATACAGGGTGGTCTATTTATAAATTGATTTATGTTGTTGTTGAAGATATCGTTAACTCGACTCTTAATTGTCTGATTTGAGCGTTGGAACCCTGCGAAAAAAAATGCTCATTTGCTTATTTTGTTTGGACCGGATCACAGCTTAGTGTGGTGTGAGACGAGTAATGTAAAAACACTTTTATGTAAGACTGCTTGATAATGGGGTGATTACAGTCGCAATTAGTGGCCATAATTTGCAATATTATGGCCTAGTCCATAAGGATAAAGTAAAACGGCCGCCTGTCAATGTGACAGTCGTACTTAGGTGTCAATTCAAGGTAAATTCAAGTATTTTAGAAATACTTGACAAATGCTTGACATCTGTTGTCAATGATATATAGATTTTATCGTTTACTGAATTCAACGAAATTTTTATTTTTAAGGGTTGTTGCAGTCGTACATAAAGCTTTGTATATATCGCGTCCATAAATAGGCTTTATGGAGACTCGCCTTGTTTATTTGTGCCTCGCTCGCAAGCTCGCTCGGCTAAATAAACGACTCGTCCATAAAGACCCAGTTTATGTACTTGATATATAAATAGCTATTTCGTCCGCGTACGTAACGTAACTGTAACATTGTGAGAAATAATAAATAGTAATACACATTTTATTTAAAAACTTGTACATTATACGCATCAATCATTGTCATCGTCCTTTCTTCGCACTTCTCAAACTGTGATAAAACGTTAAATAGTTTCTATTATCGATAGCCCACTGCTCCAGTAACTCCTTACAAACGTCACTCAGGGGAATGTTGTCGATCCACAACAGCACGTCCGACCTCAACGTGTACAAAAGTGAATCGTGCAAACAGGTTATATCAGTTTCACTGATGTCGATCATTTTTAAATTATTCAAATATAAAAAGGTGCTATTGTCTATCGAGGTGATGTTGTTATGCAACAGGCTTAAGTCGGTCAATTTCGTTAGGCCTCGAAAGGCCGCGTGGTGTATCTCCCTTACGTTGTTATTGGACAGGTAGACTCGCTCGAGTGTTCCGCGAACGTTTCGAAACGCGTTTTCTGGTACGCTCGCGATTTGGTTAAACTTGAACGAGAGCAAAGTCACTTTCGGACAATTTTGGAACCACTCCCCCATTAAAGTAATGAGTCGATTATGATCCAGTCGGACACTTTCCAAACGCGGCATGTCGTCAAACGCGTTTGATTCTATGTGGGATATCCGATTAAATGTCAGTACTAGTCTCTTTATCATTAAATTGTTAAATACTTGTGCTTGAATTAGCTCTATGCCGTTGTCTTCTAATTTTAAAATGGTGAGTGTCGGTAAGTTGTAGAACGCCCTCGGTTTTATTCGGTTCACTTTGCTCGAAATTATGTGCAACGAATGCAGGGACAGTAGATTTTGGACCGCACCCTCGTATAGAGTTGGCACAGTTTCATTTCGAATTTCAATTGCGATTGCGTCTTGGAATTCTTCCGTTGCCGTAATGCAGCCCGTTATTTTCATAATGGGAATCACTTTACTTCTGGGCACCTTTTTGAAGTAATTGTAATCTAGAATTTCGTCTTTGAGAATGACATCTCTGAGTCCTATCAGATGGGTGCCGTCGAAGGTCTCCTGCACGCAGCACTTAACACAAATCACAAAAACGTACGTGTATATTATTCTTAAAATAAACATCGCAAGACGAACCGGAACGATATGGATTAATGTTAAATTTATGACTGAACTATCATCGCCGGACTGATATTTTGTTTATTTTCTTGCTATCGTGAACTCAAATCTGCGTCGTGAACGGTTGCCCCCGTAATTTAGGGTCAGGGTATTTGGGTTTTTAACGTTTCTTCGTTCGTATCTTGTTATACATTTGATTAACGTATTCAAAGGCCATTTAATAACAATTTATTGGTTAATTACTCCCAACCAAGTCATGGACGCGAGTTTTACTTATTATGCAAATTAAGTGAAATTCCCACGATTATTTTGTCTTGTTGATTGTTGATTCAAGGGTCCGAAAGTACTTATAATTTTATTTAATGGAAAGTACATAGCTCTTGGTTCAAGTTGCTTAATTTTACGCTAGCGTGAAGAACGGATGGACGGACGGAATTGTTGAAAACTGAGCCAAAAATTATTAATCTTCACTTTTGCGAAATGTAAATTTCCGCTGTAAACAAATTAAGCGCTTGCTCAGGAAGTGAATGACCCATTCATTTAAAGAAGTTGTCAATTGAGGGATCTTCACCCGAGCCGTTCTTGAAAATGGGGAAATTTCTGAATTATGCTTCTATTTGCACCCGTTCTACAGTTCTAGATGGTTTTTGTTCTATACTACTCCGGTATTTACGTTACGAATTAGGAAAACGACAGGAATCCTAATTCGGAGTAGCCGATAGAATGCTCGAAACTGATCTAAGGAAATTCCCATCTCTGTCACAGATGAAAAATTCACCTCGGCCCAGGTTCGAACACCCGACCTCTCGGCTATGAAGCCAAACGTTCTACCACTGAGCCACACCACACAGTCTGTTTCTTCTCTAGTGTCCCTCGTATATTTATACTGGAACGTGAACTGGCGGTCTCCTGCCATATCGGTCGCTGTATGGCATGCGCGTACTCGTGAGAGAGAGTAGGACAGACATGTCCCTTGTGGTCTTGTGTGTATATTCGAGAACAGAGTGATCCCGCAAACAGAGCTTTGTCGCAAGACGCCATGTTGGAAAACTACCGACGGCACCATCGAACAGCTTATCAAGTTTTTAATATTGTTCGGGTGTCAAAGAGTGCGCTCTGTACAATTTATTTTTCTTTGTTCAATTTCTTTGAGCAGTGGAGGAGGAGAGAGGGAGGGAGAGGGACAAAAATAGTTCAATCCTGTATGGTGCTCTAATGAAAGGTCTCACATCAAGGAACTGTCACCCTCCTGCCAAATCATTTTAACGAGCACAGAAATATTCGACATGTCGCGAGATCAGATTATGTAAGGTGATGAAGTCAAAACAGCTAGGGGATGTACTCAAAAAGAGAAGGTGGATTGTTTCTAAACGAGACCTATCTGCAAGAGGAATCAAAACCTCTAACGTCTGGAGAACCCTTTCGTACCACAAAACGAAAGTTAAAGGTCTGGAAGAGTGTAACGTGGGTTTTGTAAGATCAGCGGGAGATTACTCCACGTTGGTCCGATTGAAGGCTGTCAAGCGATCTTATTGGTTTTATAACATTAGTTTTATTGGTGGAAACGGTTTTCGTCCCGGAATGGGTGCTCCAGACAACCAGAAAAGTATTGGGAAGTTAATTGTTTGGGGAGACGTGGGAGGGAATTGGCATCGAACCGCGAGTGAATTCGCGTCACCGCGGGACCGTCTAGAACCCGCGGAAAACCGTCAGGCAGTTAGCGTGAAGCTGTCAGCGGTTATTTGTAGTCGTAGGGCAGTTTTACTTTTGTGCAAAATTCACGTCGCGCCGTAAGTGAAGTGAAGTCAACGACCTGTAGAGTACCGTGGGGTGTTTTACTAGTACCAAGAGAATTCGCACCTAAAAGTGAGACAGGGTTAAGTTTAAGGCTAACTGGCGAATTGGAATTTATTCCAATAGTGGAAATTTAAAACGCGCGGTTTTAAGTTTTCGGTGAGCCTCATTTTAAAGGGACGACCATCGAGCGATTCAAAAAATTCAGAGTCATAGTCGGCAATTGAAGTTTAATTGAGAACATACCATGTAACTGACAATTCGATTAATTACTTACACATTTGAAATTTTAATTTATAATTCGAAATAAATTTATCGGTTCGTTTGACAAGTGTATTGAGGTTCGTTCATAATAAACAGCTTATCACCGCCAACTATGAATTTTTTGACTCGTTCTTTATTACGGTAAATACGAACAATAGTGGAAATTTTAAACGTGCGAATGGAAGTTTTGGCAACCTTCATATTCGGGAGTACCTTTCGAATTGGGAACCATATTTGAACTTCAAATCAAAGAAGAAACCTTACGCTATTAAAACATTTATTCTTCAAAATTTAATTCTTTTTTGAAAGAAATTAATCACACTAGCGGCCAAGTTTTATATTAAGGCACAGACTAAAGGTAACTGTAACATAATTTTTTAGGTGTTTTGTCGAAAAAAGAAAATTTTTGGTTGACCTTTGCTAAATCTTATTTTTTTTTAATTTTAAATGGCATCCGCCTAAACAAATTATACCTCTGGATAGTCGATATTACAAAATTTCTACTGATACACAAAAAACAAATTTCAGGGAAAAAATTAAGTTCGATATGCCACTGAAATACAGCACGCCACTGGTGATCAGAAATATTTATAAAAATTGCCACTCTAATTGCGCACAATTTTGCTCCAAGATTTTTTTCGGTATCTTGTATGGTGATGGAATTATGATTCGAGGGTCTTAGATGCTGCACCCTGTATAAATGTGTTAAAAAAATTTGAATTTGTATTTGATTAAATATGAATTTTTAAATTGGGTCCATCAACCTCAGGTGGAATTTCACCGTTTGCTTTTTGTTGTGTTTTTCATTACGAAGTTATTAGGAATTTCCGGTGTCAATTCGTCCGTAAGTAGAACTTCCCGGTGCGAATTTTCTGGGGCGAACTTTTCGGGAGCCAGTATTTCGGACTTTATAGAGACAGTGGCGACGATAGAATGTCTAATTTTTGATTGGTTGTTGAGATCGGCGGTCATGTTGCCTCGATTATACAGTGTGTCCCAAGTAGAACGCGCCATAGGCAAACGGCATTGTTTTTTTTCGCGAAGATCCACACTTTCTGGCATGAAGGCAAGCGCTAACGCACGTACATTGAACGCTAACTTCAAATGTGTATCAAAGACTCCGTGGATCCTTCACGAAAAAATACATTAATTCTGTTTGCTTACTCAACCTGGGACACACGGTATATAATACTGTATTTTAGTGTACGCAACACATGTCATACGTGTATTGTGTGTTGCCTACTTTCTAATTTGGGCTCCAATGTGGTTCTTACAGAAGAATTTTCTTTAACGGAAATAGAGACACCTTTAATCACAAGCAAAAGCAGAAGTAGCGCCAGCAATATACCTCTTCCCTCAATTGTACAAAGCAAAAAGAAGTGTATCTCATCCATTTGCGGGGTTGCAAATAGAGTAAAGTTTTAGTGCATTTAGAAGATGGTACCGCGTCCTTTAAAAGGTTATTTTGTTACTCTTAAAAAATAAGCATTGTGTAATGGTTCTGGAACTATTGTAGATGCAAATGGAATTAGCAAGAATAATTGAGTTGTAAAAAAATGAGGTGCCGTGAGAAGTTGGAATGTGAACCTATTAAGGGTGCAGTTTTTTTCAAACTTTTTTTTCTTTTGTTCATTTTGTTGGAGTAGAACATAAAAGACCTTTGTATCGTCAGCTTCAATGATCAAGGACCAGTAATTCACATTTTATTTGCTATTGCTTCAAGTCATTTACTCAACTTGAACCGCATGTATTTTGAACCTCTCATTTGTAGTAGACGGACCTTGAATAAAATAAACGCAATTTTTATTTTTTTATCTTTTACAGATTCAGCTACATTGCATTTTTAAATCGAAGTGCACCTACCTAAATTATTCGAATTTGGGCTGTTTTACAGAATCCAATACATTTTTAATCCTCTCCTGCATACACTCAATCTTTCTAATGTACGTTTTTAAATTGCCGTTGTGCTTCTTGGACCAATTTTGCATACTCTTCAAGCAAACGCAGTCCAATGGGTTGTTTTCGAGGTTGGTCATTTCGGTGACTGGAAGCGAATCCAAGATGGAATCGGATAGACACTTGATCTTGTTTCCGGCTAACAGTAGCGTCTTGATGGTTTTCATCCCAGAAAACACATTGGCGTCAATGGTCGCTATATGGTTCTTATCCAAATCCAGCATCTGCAAATCTTTTATACCTCTGAACGCGTTCTTGTCGATGGCTTCAATTTCGTTGCCGCCCAAGAAGATTGTCGTTTTTGTTTTGAACGGTTTGTCGCTTCCCTTGATATTTTTGAAGGCGTCGGCGGGCAGTTCTTTAATTTGATTGTTTCGTACCGATAGTAGGATTATATTAGGGGTGTTTTTGAACCAATCCGCATTCCATACCTGCAGTTTGTTATTGTCGAGGTCGATTCTGTTGAGCTCGGGCATGTTGTCGAAGGCGCCCGGATCAATTTTCGATATGAGATTGTCGCTCAAAAGCAAGCGTTTTATTTCCATTCCGTTGAAGACTCCCTCTGGTATCGTGGTGATTTTGTTTCTTTCCAAACTAATCGTTGCCATTGTTTTCAGATTGAGAAACGCCCCTGGCTCGATTTTCTCAATATTGTTCGCATTTAAAATCAACTCGTGTAACCATGGCATATCTTGCACTGATCCACTGTATAGAACGGGAACTTGTTGATTTTCTATGGTAATCGACAAGGCGTTTTTGAGTTCTTCATTTGGCTCGATGCACCCTGTCAACGTTTCCAATTGTATGTCATTTGATTCGTTTTTGGAGCTAAAGTACTTCGAAGCCTTGATTTTTACATTCTGAAAAGATTGCTTCTCACAGCACTGCACCAGCGCTGCACTTAGTAACGTAACCAGCAATAATTTTAACATGATTGGCGCAATTTGAAACGCTACAATCTTATATACCACTTATCGTTTAATGATACGAATAAGGTCACGACCTGATTAGCAGAAATGTTTTGCGAACATTTTCTTCGTACTTAATTATAAATATTTCATTTTTCAATGAAACTATAGTGTTGTCATTTTCTACAAACAATGTTTTGCAACTAACTTCTTTTCTATTTCAGATACAGAAAATTGGCACTAAAATGGCATCCAGATAAAAATCCAAACAACTCAGAAGATGCAACCAAGAAGTTTAAAGAAATTTCAGAAGCGTACGAAGTTTTATCCGACGGTAAGTTCGCCCTTTGTACGTTCTTAATAGTCGTAGTAACGTGGCACAATTTTATTTTCTGTAGAATCAAAACGAAAAATCTACGACAACCGTTTCTATCAAAGGGCAAGCACCAACAAATCTTCACGTAGCTTTAGAAGCTACTTTGACACCCACACTCCCTTTCACCGAAGTTTTGGTACATAAATGCGTGTAACTAATTTGCGTTTTTGTTTCCCCATTTAACCCCGTCTCGATTGTGTTTGCTTATAATTACGAGCGCATGTCTTTCGGCGGTGTCGACAGTTAACCTAACCTATTTTATTTTTTTTTAAGAAAAAAAGAGAAGAGTATACGACCAGTATGGCAAAGAAGGGTTGATGAGCGGAGCGACACGTTCACGAACCCGACACGACGATGACTTCGATTTAGGCTTTGGTTTCTTTACATTCCGAGATCCAGAAGATGTATTTAGAGAATTTTTTGGTTCTCCTGTTAGTGATCTCTTAGCGGGTATGTATCTACATATTTCAAAACATCACGAATTTATGAAACCTTTCCAATTTGTACTACCAAATATCTAGTATTACAAAATGGAATTTAATTAATTTTTAATTAGTTCTTGTTCTTACAGACCCATTTCCGGCGTTTTGGTATTAAACGGGTTTTGCGCATTGTCTGCCCGTTGCGTAAAATTTCGTTTTATTTTGATTACCGGTTGTGAAAATGTAGTGTGCGATGTGTTAAATCGAAAAGACGGGAAACAGTGAAAAGAAATTGATTCGGCTCAAAGGGCCAATATTTTGAAACACTCCTTTTTAATAAATCCCACCGTATAGGCGGTAAACATTTGCCGTTTTTTAAGGACGGCTACGCTAGCTTTCGTCTCGTTTTTCTGCAAACTATAGAAATTTGAACAATTTCGATTTTTTGTAAGATTTTGTAGTTTTGATTTTTATAAGACATACCCTTTACACACACCACAAGGTCCGAGCCAAGGCAACTTTTTAACTTAGGTTTTATGGTGTTAAAGTAATATACAATACATATGTTTCTCTCTCGTGCGCTACTAAAAACCGTGTCAACCATACTGTTCTGTATGAAAGAGAAGGACGCAACGTAACAGCTGCTCGTGATGTACGCATTGAATGTAAGAAAGTGCGCATGCACCGTTTCCATGTGATAGTAGCAGACAGAAATATTAATTACATTAATTACTTAATTTTAATTAATGGTAGTTTTTGTTTTGATTTAATTTTTTTGGCAACCCATTGGCAATGTGTATTGCATTTATTGCAGAGGAACTTCGTTCTCGAGATATTCGTTTCGCCCTCATTAATCATGTTTCGCTCAGACGATTTATTTTGTCTTTGTGAATACCCAAAATTTGAAGGGGTAGTTGTAGTTCAAGACTAGGGCAATTCTCCTAAAAGTAGCTCAAAATCTCAGAAGTGGGTTCAGATGAAATGGTCAATTATAAATACAGTAGACTGTATTTATAATTGACCATTTCTTTCATTTTTCGACATGAAGTCATTCTTTATATAAAGAGGCCTGTTTCAAATAGCTTAAAAATGAACAATTTACATCACAAAAAGAGTTCACTTATATATTGCACTTCATTTTTCCCGGTACGCAATAATAAATCAGTTCTGTATATCATATGGTTTTTTACCACTCGGCAACTGTGCGGTTCCAAAGTTAGAAGTTGTGTTATTTTTCATGAAAAATATGTCTGCCATATTAAAAAAAATTAATTGCAAATGCAGTTAATAATAGTATATTACATACTGAGGGACTAAAGTGTGTGTTTTAATCCCGAGGGTGCAGATCAACTACGTTTCAGGCAACAAGCACCCGAGGGATTAGGACGCACTTTAGTCCTGTGGTATATACGCTATTTTTTGTACTCCGCTAATGAGCTACGGCAATTTCAATGTTAAAGTGCAAATTTGAAAGAGAAAATTTTATTGATTGTAGGATCAATATACCTGGTAATGTCAAATTGTGACCGTATAACGATATGTCAGTTTGATTTAAAGATTCTAGTTTAAAACTACAGCGTACAAATGCTCGTTTAAATCTCTGAAGAACAAGCTATAAGGAAACCTATTGCCTTCCAAATTCAAAAAGATTGCACTTTAGTCCCTTAAATGAATGACAAAACACGTTGATTTAGTAGAATGGGATCAAAGAGAATCTTTTTTAAAACACGTTTTTATTGGTACTATTGCGGCTATCGATTTCAACCACGTAGGGTCATCTTCAGGCCGAGCGTCAATACTATAAAATGATGAGGCATGTACTATTATTAGCGGAGTAGTATGTGTTAGATGTCAGGAAAGATGTTTACTGAAAGTGAGGTTGTGTATAATTACTTTCACTTTCAGTAAACATCTTTCCTGACATCTAACACATACTACTCCGCTAATAATAGTACATGCCTCATCATTTTATAGTATTGACGCTCGGCCTGAAGATGACCCTACGTGGTTGAAATCGATAGCCGCAATAGTACCAATAAAAACGTGTTTTAAAAAAGATTCTCTTTGATCCCATTCTACATCATACAACACGTTTAAAAATGGAACAATACATCAACCGAAACGTTGATTTAGTCCACGGAGTACAAAAAATTAAATTCGACAATAATTTTAAAGGCAAGATGCCTGAAATTTGTGCATGAGCTTTTTTTAAATTTTATAACACATGTTAAATTAAAGAGAAACAAATGATTGTGCATTCTAATGACATCTGTCATTCTTATTAGAAATAGGACGCGGAGCACGAAATAAAATGCAGTTCAGAACAGAACACAATATTGTTTCCATGGAAACGACGGGAGACCTAAAGTTGCTCTTTTTGACTTCTAAATTAAATTCAGAATTTTCAGAACATTTATTTAAAGGGAAACTCTAACCATCTTGTGAAAGTCAATTCACTCGTGGCGTAGCCATTCGTGAATTAAAATCTTTTTCTCAATGCTTAAAACATCCCTCTATGGTCTATTATTCCTGAGACCCCTATGTGCTTCCTCCATTTATGTGCTAGTGTGACGATAATTCAAAAATAAAGTGCACTGCAATCTTAAATAAAAATTTCGAATATGTACAAATTGGAAGGTCGCAATTTAACAAATGTTATCCAATTCTGACTGTACTTCTCATGTAGATTTACATGGACATCACGACCACCGAGGTAGGCGAGGAAATCGTCACTCTCATCCACAGAACGCCGTAAGTTCGACCATATTCAACCCATTCGGTTTCGGTTTAGGTTTTGGCAATTCACTTATGGATGACTTGTTTCACAATGGCTCTCCCGGCTTTTCATCGTTTAGTAGCTCCTTCTCCAATGGCACGAATGGACATACAAATATTAAGAAAACATCGACGTCCACGCGTTTTATAGATGGCAAGAAAATTACAACAAAAAAGTAAGTTTCATTACTTTTCCGAAGGAATAACTTACGCATCTTACTTTTCAGAGTGTACGAAAATGGGAAGGAGACAGTGGTAACGTACGAGAATGATGTAATGAAATCAAAGACTGTCAATGGGGTTCCTCAAAGTCTTACTTATTAATGGAGTGTACATTCGATAAGGGAGTTTACGTTGTTTTTAGATATTTAAAATCTTTTGTTATTGCACGAATATTACTACATATTTTCAGGAAGTAGCTAATAACAAAATTGTCAATATGTATCCAAGAAGACTTACTTAAACGGCTTTGTTCATTCTTATGTGAATAAATATTATAATTCTGTTTTCAGAATTCATTAATGTATCTTTGTTAATAAGAGTTAGATTTTGAATTAAACAAAATTCACACTTTGAGCACTTTTACGAAATCATATTTACCGGAAGTGTGCAGAGGAAAGAGCGTGTCCAGAGTTCCAATTTGCCAAAGTGATATCAACGGTTTTAAAAAGTATTTTCTCTGTAATACGTTTTTACCATTTAGCTTCTGCTTGTAAGTAATAAAATGTTTAATGGTACTGAAAATGCTACTGACGTTTAGTTGATTAGAAATGTGAAAAAACTGCTCAGGTTTGTACTTTAGTTTTGATTAGTTTTTCTCATAGGTTTAAATTTAATATACGATTAAGTAGTAAGTATTTATTAGGTTTCTAAGTATCTTAATTATTTTATTGTGTTTTATTAGGAAATATTGGACGTTTGACTGAAGTACAGTCGATTTTTTTACAACTAAATCTTTAATTTGGTTTAACTATTATTTGATGAATTTTTTTTGACCTACAGAAATGTAACTGATTAAATGTGGTCACTGTAAGATGGTGGTATATCTATTGTATTTCAATTCAATATTTATTGCGCGAAATAAAAGTTGTAAAGTTCATACTACTGCACACCGAGATGTAAATGTTACGCAATATATTATGTGTGCTTAGATTGTGTCTACAGAAATGTATTATAATGACCATATTTAGAAACAAATATTACACTTATTATCTTCCCTTCATCCCACAACACTTACTTCACCTACTTTTTAATGTAATTGTTGCCTTTATAATTCCTTTAAACGAACTCATTAGTGATACGGAAAAAAAGTGCAACATACCACAATCGCACTAAGCAATAGGTAAGTACAAATACTAAAAACAGTCGATCACCTCTAGTACGAGGTTTAGGTTATGAACATTGCATAGTATGCTATACTACTCTTTAATCCTAAAATGATATGATATTGGATACCTATCTCCCTTGTCAACCAAATCTGCAAACGTAAATTAAATATAGCAAACGAGCTTCTGGGTATGGCTAGCATGTGCAAAACCAAATTTAAAACCTGGTGTTAAGTTTTGCTTTTATTTAAAGTGCATGTGTATGAAATTTCATTTAGTTGCTTCCATAAATAAGAAAGTTGGCATTGCATATCCTACACAAAACCATAAATTTGGAAGATGGCGCTACATTTGCTTTTATTCCAAGTGGATGTATCAAATTTCATTTAAATCCCTCCATAAATAAGAATGTTGACACTGCGCATGCGCAAACCAAATTTTGAAACTCGTTAAATTTGCTTTTATTCCAAGTGGCTATGTAGATGTACCTACATCTTTGGCAAGCATCTCGGTAAGCTGCTCGGTGAATCCCCCCCCCCCGTACAAAGCAAGCTGTTTACACGCATCTGAGCACAACTCAGAAGAAGCTCACAACCAAACATGGCGGACGTAGATGTTATTGCAGCTGTTCCGTTCGGTTTGACATAGTACTTTTGTTGGAAAAAACAACAACGAATTGAAAAGAGACGAAGAGCTTGGAGAAGGTGGTGAATGATAAAAATTTATAGAAATCGCACCAAGCCCGTCAACGCATGTAAACAGGTATACGAGCGCAAACAGATTCACCCTTTGAACTGTGTCGAAAAACCGACACTAGTCTGGATCGGTGACGAGCACAGGCCGGGCCCCCAGAGTATGACCAGGCCCCGGGGCAAATGCACCGGCTTCCCCCCCTTATCGGCGGCCCTGTTAAGATCATACATAATTATATATGATCTAAGACAGGGATGGGGAAATAAATTTAAAAGAGGGCCACATAAAATAATTACATTTAAGCGGGCCAAAGAGGATTTATTATATAAGTAACAAAAAATCAGCTTGACAAAAATTATCGTTTCAATGTCCTGGGTTAGTGTCACACATCAAAAATTTTGACCGTTCATTCATTATAGCGTCGAAATTTGGCTCCAAATTAATGGAAGAAATTCGCATTTTGTTCATAAATTTGTTTTTATGAAAATAAATGACTGATATTACCCGCGAGCCGCTATTTCCCCATCCCTGATCTAAGACGTCGATGGTGGGCATTACGCGTTCCCGAGTTTTTTCATCGATCATTTTATTATTTCTTGTACTGACAATTGATCCTTTCGTCCATCCCGCTGTCGTTCCCGTCTTCCCGCATCGGTTTGAGCGGACCTTTAGACAAACATAATTTTCCCTAGAGTTATTGCCAACTGTAAGTGCCAGGCACAGATATACGTTAAGTCAAAATACAGTATCCGATCGATCGATTGATTGTTATAGCCAGGGCGAATTAAAAAAGTGGAGTATGCAGCAGTAATACCTAAATACATATTTACATAACGGTCCTGGCGAGGAAATAATGAAGTGCGAGGTCCCTTTGGGGCCGAGTACTTTAATTTCCGAGTCAGGTAATGTCATTATTTTACTGACGAGTTTTGTATTAAATTTTACCCGAAATTGTATTTTAATATAAAATTCAATTTTTATATAGAACTTTTGATTAATGTCAATCTGTCAGTGATGACAGGAGTCATTATAGACATTTGGAGAGGTCACAAATGCGGCCGGTAAAGTGACAAGCGGCAGGAAACATATGTCAGCTCTGCCTCTGTCATGGAAACTAAAATTTCCTGACAGAAAGCAGGCATGAAATAGTAGATTACATACCGAGCTGGGAGGTGGTTCATTACCTACCCCGAGGGCTTAAGGTACCTCACCGAAGCGCGGAGGTGAGGTATAAGCGCGAGGCGTTGGTTATGAACCACTGACCAGCGAGGTTTGTATACTATTTTACTCACAATCGATCATTTAAGGTAAAGTATATAATTCAACAAGGTGTTACTTTAACTGTCAATAATAGTGACACCGCCAATGTAACCATTAATGTTTACAACAATAGCAAATAGTTTCGTTCTTCTTCGTAATTTGCTATTGTTGTAAACATTAATGGTTACATTGGCGGTGTCACTATTATTATTTATTATTATTATTTTATCCCTCTCTTGTTTTGGGCCCTCAACAGGCATGCGCCCAATTACAGAGTGACCCGCATAATGCTATTTAGAGGTGCCTCTGCAGAAGGTCTTAAGTTGGTCTATACTACTTCTATACTATTAGTATAAGTTTCATATAAGGATAATATGAATAGCATTTGCAGGTAAGGAAAGTGACAGATGCTAGCCGGGAAAGTGACAGCTAGCCGGGAAAGTTACTTTCCCGGCTAAGGTGAGTAATGAGTCGCTTCGCAACCGCTATGAAGGTTAGGAATTCAGATAATACTAACCGATTGTGAGTAAATGAAGGTTTCAAGACGATTTTGGGTAAAGTGTATTATGGCTTGGATTTGATATAAGGTTAACCCAGCAAACATACAAGTGGCGGCCGACTTATGGGAAACTTCCGGCACTGATGGTAGAGTGCTGGCATAATAAATCCTGCACTGGCCCTGTGGCCTGTGCAGGTTAATTATCATATTTTGATGAAATTTTAGCCATGCAACAATCTGCGACGGGCCATTGACCAGCAGCCGGACCTTGTTGAATCACGTGATTCGTTAGCGATTGTAGCGCCATTGCCATACGCCATTGCGCAGTGTTGTGTAACGTGATTGTTTTCTTATCATTATTTATTATTTTAGTTGACTCATGAATGAAAAAATGGAAATCAAACAGTAAGGATCGTTTATTCGTTTACTTTCTTTCGTTATAAGTAGTATAAGGTATAAAACATAATATTTATTTATTCCCATATGACATAACCTCAGATTCCTTGAATTGTGTATACCTTATAACATTTTCCCGGTATTTTCTTTGGCATAAGTAAAACCAGTAAAGTCGTTAGGTAATGTAGGTACGAGTGTAAATCCGAATTTGTTTTTATAGTGATAATAGCTCGTTTGTATAAGAATGTCACGGCAACCTGTATTTAAGAAACGCAGTGAACGACAAGAGTATCGCAATATCAGAAAAAAAGTGGTGGACACGATAGAATTGTCAGTTTTAGAACATCCTCCGAGTACATCTACTTCATTTTCAAATAGCGGGTGATGAAAAATGGAGAACAGTTTCTACAATTGAAGAATTAAAGGAACTGAATAAAAAATTAAATTCGGCCGAGAATATGACTGAGTGACTTTGAAGTAAAACAGTATTAAATGAATGCTATTCTAATGTATAAATTTCAGATTAAGACACTACAACTGATTGGGGGGAAAGATTTATCCGACACTTGTAAAAGAGTGTTGGGTAAAATACTTTCAAACGAAGTTGCTGTGGCAATGAACTGGTCGGGGCGCAATCAAAAAGAAGGCTTTGTCCATTTGAATAACATTGTGAACTTAGTTCTTGGTAATTTATTTTTCCTATCATACAAATTACATATCAAAAATGAGTGCCTGTCAAGCCACCTTTGGAATTTTTATTTACATGGGGAATAAGATTTAACTTCCAAAGACCTCTCAACAGCAACTCATTTTTGATCGATTGTTTTTGCAGTAAGTTGTATTTATAATACAAATTGTTGTTGTAGTCACTGTACGGAAAAACCCCTTGTGCAGAGACACAAATAAACAAGAAGTGGAAAATTCCATAAAAATTTGGCTACGTAATGCGAGTGATCGGGATGGTGGTCGCAACAAACGTATGAGAAGAACTGAATAAAAATTATGATGTTAATACTTGTTACCTAATGTGATATTTATTTTTATTTATTTAGAAAATTCTGTTGTTTTGTGCATATGTATGTATATATTTATTGAATACTAAATTTATATTTTTATATGCGTAATTTCATATTTCAATTGAGCACGAGAAGGAGCGGCCATCGCTGGCCATGCATTTAATTTTTGGTGTGGAAGACCACTGGCCCAGTGTCAATAAAGTTAAGGCAACATGCAAATCAACCATCAGTTGGCCAACTGATGGCCAGACTGACATTTGTGCGCTGGCCCAGTGCCATTTGCCATTGCTGGCCCATTAAATTTAGTGCAGGGAGTACGTTACATTCCCAGTAATGGCCCTTAAATAAATGTTTGCTGGGAAGATATTTTAACCGCTTATTGTGATCGGGTATTAATTCCTTATACCTCAAGAGTGGATTGTGGGAGGAGGGTACTTACAAAGACAAAATGAATATTTTAAAGAAAATGCGCTTTATCTGCACAAGAGTATCTATTGCACAATTTGTCCTTGTTTAGAATGTCATCGCTATTCTGTTACCAGGGCGAAAATTTTGTCTGCCAGGGCGGCGCCCTGATTCGCCCCCCTCTGGGTAGGGCCCTGATCGGGAACCCTTTTGATCATCCCAATTATTACCTTCTTGTACTTAACAAAATTTTTAATTGCTGCTAGATGTCGATAAATGAACGGATATGGTACGTACGTGGTGCGAGCTGAGTTAGCAGGGACAGAATCCCACGGGCCTCCTGATGGTCGGGTACGACGTTGCGGTGGTGTTGCCATCGGCGGCAGCGGTGAACGGTTTCGAAATCGCCTTCGCAAGTTGCGTCGGTGTTTACGCTCTGCCTTTAGGCATAGAGTAAATATTCTATGCTTTGGGTTAGCAAGATAAAGTGACATCTGCCTCGGTCGTTGGGCGCCGGGGGCCAGTGATACTACGCTGAATCTTCCTAACTTTGAGAGGTAGTCAACTTTGGGCGTCCAAATGTTTCTTAGAGCTGTAATCTTGGTATCTCTTTCTCGTGCCTCGAGCTATGAGAAGTGCCCCAAAGATTGAGTGTTGTTTTGTGGAGAGTTTTTTTTAGCGAAGTTCACCGATATGAGAAATGCGGGTGAACGGGACGTCGGAAGCGGGTACCGACAAAGGTAATAGGGTAGGCCCTGGCAAGATCTTAATGGTGGTGGAGTCAACACTTCAAAGTTCAAACGCAAACGGTGCGTGGGAAGTAATATGGAATGGAACGGACAAAGTGAATGAGGTAGTTTTCCGGCGCCCTAATCCAGACGAAAGGCAAAGTCGCGTTCACCAGGCAAAGCGCTTTACGAGCGCTACCTAAAGGCGGGAGTAGACTAGTAAGCCATTCACACACGGCTGAATTCCCGCATACAGTATCGGTGACTAAATTTCGATCTCTCGTTGTCGCAGTCGCAAGGCCATTTACGATTTTGGGGAACTGATGGGCTATTGTTTTATTGAAAGCAGGGGCGCCGGAAGAAAATGCGCTAGGGAGGGACCCTTACATTTTTGGAATAGAAAAAGTTACCTAACTATTTTTAAATTAGTAAATCAATAGGATACGCAGCTAAATTATATATCCAATAAAAACCATTGGTGTAATAGTGTAATAGGTACGTATTAGACACAAAACAAAACAAGAACAAAAGTAACAAGATACAGTAGTTTACTGAAAAAAAAAATGAAATTAATAGCACTATATTATAAAATTTGCTGTGGTTAGCCCAGATATCACCCGCACACCGGCGCATGCGCGTTCTACGTTCTTTTAGGCCTAACAATATATGTACCAAATTTGTTTCAATCGGTTCAGCCGTTTAGCCGTTAAAGAGATTAACACACTTGCGCATGCGCAATTTTCCCCGAAAGCTTTTTAGCTCTCCCTTTTGTACCAAGTTTGGTTACAATAAGAGTACAGACAGACGGACATCATTAAAATTTTGTTGGATTCGGAATACTGGTGCTTCAAAACGTGTACTTCCGTAAAAAAAAGGGGGGGGATCATTTTTTACCCCAATGCAATACCTCCCTTACATTGTAACATTAAACTGTTTCTGCATAATTTTTCACCTAAAAACTATACCATTTTATCAACCATAACGTTATTGATTACAATGTTGAATGTAGAGTAGGGGGGTAACACAATTTAATTATTTTGAAAGAAAAAAATTCCTCTTACGTGATGGTTTTGCACGTCTGTCTGTCCGTCTGTTCTTGGTCTAACTCGAGAAGACACAGCGATGTCAAACCTTCGCCAATCGATTTCTAGTTCAAGGATCAGTGCTATTGGATATGAGCCGGATTAAAAGTCTGGTTTCCCAATACGAGCTGAGTAACAAAAAATTTCCCTACTGAATCGTATGCGATTGTTCGTATATTCATCACTTTATGTGCATCTATTCCATAACAAGTTAAAAACGTGGTCACTCGCAACCGACGAAAGTGCATTTTCCCCTCACAGAATCAGTAATAGCTCGGGAAGGAAGTGACTAATCCAAAAAGTCTTTTGTCGTTCTGGTCTCGAGGCTGTGCTACACCGTATAAGAAAAAAAAAACACAACGAAAAAGCCTAAAGTGGAGGACTTGTAATGGTAAAGACGGACGAAAATGCTCTAAAAAGCGCCGAACCGAAATATGTAAGTGACATGACAGTATTGTCATTGATGTTTTTCCAAAACAAACAGCCACCCTGCGGTCTTCGGTTAATTTAATCTCTACAGTCGATACAATATGGCAACTTAATGGACATTGAGGTAACTAAATAAGGTTATAAAAGGTTTACCTACTTTTGCTTTGTCACCGAACGGCGATGGAACAGAAAAAGGTGGCTGTGTTCTAGTTTTATTGTGAGCTTTCAACATTTTCTAAAATGGATTAAGTGATTTCTCAAATCCCAGGGAGGGGCCCGAGCCCCTCCTTGCCCTTTAGTAGCGGCGCCCATGATTGGAAGTGTGTACACCAGGAGACTCTTTTATTAGCCCACCACTGAATTGTAAAAGTATCTCGCGTACAGTCTCCCCGTGTAAAAGCGGTCGAGGGTTTTAGGGTAAAACGAGTCTGTTCGAAGTTGGCCGAATCTTGAATTTTTGCTTTGAAGTTTACAGTGTATTTCTTATATTAAATAAGTAATTCCATGGCTGATTGTCATTGAAACCAAATTCATTTGTTTATTGTCTAGCATAGCCGCCGTCAACACGGCTCACTGATGATGGCACACAAGAAAAAACAAGTTGAACACTGTTGGTTTCAACAGAATGTTGCACCCGCGCACAACGCCCTAATCGTGCGAGAATACCTACCTATCGGACAAATTTCCTTGGAAAATGGAAAATTTGTTCGATAGGTATTCTCGCACAATTAGGACATTGTACGCGGGTGCACCATCCTGATGAAACTAACAGCTTCCAACTTTTGTTTTTTTTTGTGTGATGCTGTACATCATTGTATTTTAATATAAAAATGCTACTCAATAAGTCAATACAATACGTACTTTTTTTACAGACTATATAAAAAATAAAGTTAATGATGATTTCTCGAAAACGAAACGTGGTAGTGAAAATCTCTTGTCTTGTCTTGTAGAGCTCAAATAGTATAGCAATGAGAAAGTGTTTTTTTTTTGTTTTTTGTATTTGTTCAAATAACATCAGGAAAAATAAAAACAAGATCGGCATTTTTCGGTTTTTCTGGCATACTGTCGGAAATAAGCTGGTAATAACTTGACTGGTAGGAAGGACGTCGCCTATTTGACGGTCTTGTTCTGTTAAAATTTCTCGTAGCTTATGTAATATTCGATTATTGTTGCAAAATCACTAGAATGTTCCAAATTATTACTTACTGTTTTGAGATCGGTTGAGCTTTACCAGTTAATCTGTGCTATTGCCTAGCGCAAAACCTAGTTTGGTAATTTGGATTTTTCTTACATTTGCATAGTATATAATTGTCATCAGAAGAGGTAGATAGATATTGTTCTAAAGTATTATTAAACATAAGAAATCAAACAACAAGTAATATATATTAGTTTTATTTATAAACTAATGATTATCACACCAATTACCTAAAGTGATCGTGAAAATACATCGATAAAAGGTTTTAATTGTCTAAATATACGAGATAATTTTAATTAATATTTTCTATAAAACGAATGCAATTCATTTACTCAAACAGCCAGATTATTTCCATATGGAGGGTAGTGAAAAATAGTATTTAAATGTTATTATTATTATTATTATTTTAGTAGGTAACTTTTAAAAATGCATATTATAGACCATATGCAAATATCCTAATAATTATTATAACAAATAATAGGATACATACAAAGTTAAGAATATGTTGTACATTACAATATGATTATCTTAGTTACGTACCTACTAATTTGCAGATCTTTTGAGAGCAGTGTTACTGCAACTAAAAAATCTTCTGTACAATACCATCACCTTAATACATCTAAAACATTCCAAGTTGTCGGGTAACAACCGCTAAGAGCATCTGATCTCTCTTGATTTACAAGAGGTATTTTGATCATTGCGCACATTAATCGGCGTCTTCGAAATAATCTTCATATTATACAAAAGCATTTTACCAAACGCTACACTTATTTGTTGGATTCATTGGCGAACCTAGGGGACAACTATAAGCCTTGGCGAAGTCGCGAGAGTTTGAAAGTGGCCCCAAAACTCGAATAGGTCCCGGCGAATGTACACTGGATCGTACTTTCGTTAAAGCGTCTTCCGGTCTCATCGAACCACACCATATTTGAGCGTAGTTTAGGAAAAATAGTTGATCGTGCGTTAAATTCAGTCCTGGTAGGTCCGCTTCTTCGCCATGTTTTCGTACCCACTTGCGATACGCCTGCAAAATTAGATAGAAAATTTCTGAGGGATATGAATTCAAAAAGGGTGCGATGTGTGAGTTTACGAGATGCAACTCTTTTATTTTTTAGGGAGACACCCCGAAATGAACGAAAGACGATTGTCTTGTCTTCAATGATAATAATTCGTGTTTGTTCTTTTCCGTCCATTAATATTTACTATTAAATATCTACTATTTTAATATGGTTGACGGAAGTTTTGTAAATTTGTACACATTATTGTTATAAAAGGTACAACATATGTATTTTAAATTGTTATAAAATTTCCCAAACGAAATTCGCGTGCACTATCTGCGAACGTAGAAGCATAGTGTAATTCTTTACACTAAGGTAGAAGCAATAATTTTTTTGATGTAGTGTCATTTGCTGGTCGATTTTCTTGCAACCAAGATGTTCTACTGGGGGGTGGGGTGCTAGAAACTGCCTGTGAACTCCTGACTCTCGTTAGGATTTTCAGAACTCCAATACACCACTGCGTGTATAAGGTCCCAGAAGGAATTTTTCATTAGCAAAACTATAAAATCTTGAACATAAATCCGTATCCATACATAACTCGTACGTTCACATGCGATGTGCGATTATAATGATCCATTGCAATGTTTATCGTTACCATTATTACATTATATGGTCTTATCGTGTCTTCGATCACACATTTTATATATGCACTTATCAATGGATGACACCTAGACAGCGTTTGTTGCTGATTTTTCCCGTCGGGGAGTTGAAAAACTTACCTATCAGTAGGTATTATATTAAAATGTCAATCTAAACGCTGTCTGGTGTTGAAAGGAATCTGTGTTCAATGTGAGTGTTTGAATGAAATTGTGTTGAAATGTAAGACGATAAAAAGAAAATATACCCTGAAGGCTTCCTTGAGTCCGCCATTATCGGCGATGTTTTCACCTTGGGTCATTCTTCCGTTTACATACAAACCGACTTCATCAATTTTATATCGCGAATATTGATCTATAATGCACTGCGCTCTGTCCCTAAAGGCCCTTATCGTCACATTATTCCACCATTGCATCATATTTCCATCCTTATCGAACTGCCGACCTATTTTTAAATTACGTCTTTCATACTTTAGCATACATTAAATAACTCTTACCTTTATCATCAAAACCGTGCGTAAGTTCGTGGCCAATAACCACTCCGATTCCTCCATAATTTAAAGATTTGGGAAAATGCTGACTATAAAATAAGGGCTGCAGAATTCCGGCCGGAATCACTAAAAAGTCGTCATTTTCACTCGGGTTCGTTATAAATGATGTACACATTTACCAATGTCGTTTTTATTTGGATTGTAAAAGGCGTTTACAATTGCCGGCTCCGTGGACCATTTATCTCTATCAACCGGTTGGCGTAACTTTTGAGAATTTTGATCCGCTTCATATTTCAGTATGTTTAAAATGTTAACCATAAACTCGTTATCGCTAATATTCAACTGCAAGTTGAATATTAGATGTTGGAGAAAACCTCGAAACCCTTACCATTTCGTATTCCTTAATTAATTCCACCGGCTCAGTAATGAGTTGAGGGTACCCGATGCGTTCATTCATCGCATCCGCTTTCTCTTTGGCCACTGCTCGAGTTTCGTCGTCCATCCAGTCATTTTCGGCTAAGAGATCATTAAATGCCTCCCTAATTGTGTGTATCATTTCTAAAGCAGTTTCCTTTAAAAAATAATGTTGCGAAACGTAAAGGACTAACGCGCAAACTTACTTTGCTGTCGTGGTTGAAATTGTCGCGTATAAAAAGTGCACCGACGGCCATTCCCAGTTTTTTATTAGTCCATTCCACGCACTGCGACCATCGACTTCTCTCGCTCAAAATTCCAAGCAGAATTTTTCGAAACTCCACACGTTCTCGCTGATAATCGTCGATCATATGCGGCACCAGTGCCATAATCAATCTCCACAGGACATAATTGTGAATTACCCTAGAAAAGAACTACTTGAAAAATCCGAAATTAGGCTAGTGTTATTCACCTTCGGTCTGTCTGTTCGAGGATTTTTCCCATTTCGATGAAGTAGGAGAGACCGTAAGCTACGACTGGCTCATTTTCGGTAATTTCGTCGCTGAGAAACGAACTCAGATACTGTATCCAGTTGACTTGCGGTACTATTTTTTGTAGCTGGGCAAGGGTTAGTTTCTTGTATATTGTGCTCGTATCGTGGCGATCCACTTCCGGCAATGAAACCTAAAATAAAAAAGCTTCTTTTATTTGGTTTGTTTTAACTTAAGCACTGGATTTCAATTAGTTTCAATGACATTTTTTTTGGTTCAAAAATGTCATCTGGGCTGGTTCTTAATCTTGGTTAATGACCCCCCTCCCCCCTTCCCTAATGTGACATGGAAAATGGATAAGCAATTAGGCACTAGAAAGTGATCGCTTTAAAGATTTTTTTGACAAATTTACAAAACTGCTCGTATAGGAAAGTTCGGTACATGAAAAAGGGGGTCGTTTTGTACATGGATTCGGCGAGGTATTTAAGTAAAAATCTAGTGGGAGAGCGGCATTCTTTCTAAAATGTTTGAAGAGAATCAATGCCGGTTGAGCGCCAGTTTTTTAGGTTGCGTTTTGATCTTTAGTCGAACTGTCGGGTCAAATTTAGATATTTTGAACGCGAAAGAGTTATAAATCGCTTAAAACATTATTATTACCTCAAAGTTCCAACCGAAAGCTGTATGTTGTACGCGGTGCGTGGAAAATCGTTGTCCTTACAACCGACCGGCTCGGCAAACACACTTACGTTTAAAACGGTTTTAAAGCGCTTTGAAAGGATAAATTCGGTATTGGTAGTATGGTATAAGTTTTTTTAGACCAATTTTATATCTACGTTTAAAATACGATTGTTATTCATATCTATATATAAACAATAGATTTCACGTTCTATGTTGATAATACGTATATAAGGAACTGTTTTTAGTTTAAGTGTTTGTTTACAATTAACGTATACGTAAATGTTTCATAAACCGTAACTCGTACATATCCGTATCGTTTCCGTAAATTTACTTCGCTATTTACAATAAACCAAAGGTCATACTACATACTCAACATAGTAGTATGATCTTTGACCGTACGTAACTTGGAAACATTTTCAACCTTTGCGACTATGCGCAAGACCTCCATATCGCTTACGTATATGTACGTAAAAATTATGTTCATTGTAAACACCTTCGTATGTTTCTATCCAGTTCAACTTTGCGAAATTTTTACGTTTTATGTATTTCTTACGTATACGTTCATTGTAAACAAGCACTTAGTTTGACAAACGTGTATAATATCACTTTGGGAAATAATTAACGCATAATATTTCTACAAACATATAGCAATATCCGCCGGGCATTTATGCGTATTATACGTAGGGTTTAGTGTACAATTAATAAACCCTACTTTTATACGGTGTTGCCAAGGGGAGACAGCGCCGCCATTTTCAACAGATTAACTAACGTGGATGCCTTCTAAATTCGGTACAAGTTGTCAGCAGAAGTTAATTAATAATACGTTGCTGGTTTATACAACAAGAGAACTCCATTGGGTGAAAAAGGCGATCGGGCGGCTGCTATAATTTTTAAACGTGAATATTGCGAAGCGTTACCGTATTAATAAGAAAGTAAACCTTTTTTAGTTGCGTTGCGGTGCATATTTGGATTAAAGTGTTCGCGTTGCAATAAATTATTACTACGAAAGCGTTTGGGGTTCAAGGTGCAAAACGTTGCGTTGCGCCAGATTTGTAGCGGAAAATTACGTAAAAAATATCAAGTTGTGCATCCAATCTGTTTATATGAAGTGTGAACAAAATTACGAATAAAACGGCTACCGGTAAAAAGGTTTTAATGACAATTAATTCAAGCTTTTGTGGCAACCCTGTTTCTGTTGTAAAAAAATATGCGTCAGCCGTTGTTGGAGATTTTGCATAAGGAAGTCAATTTTATATTCCTGAAGAGGTCGACTTCACGGGTTTACCTATCTCGTATGGTAAGTATACATAGGCCAAAGATAATTTCATTTTTCTCATTAATGGTAAATTTAGAATTTCACGTCCAATAATGCCAATCTTTGTTGTCGGTTTTAAACTTTTTATTTAGTATCCAGGTTGTGTGCAAATTTGTTTTAAATGTGAATTTGTATCAGGTGTTTGATGAATATTAAAAATCCCGAAGCACCCGTTTTCCGCCCTGAAATACCCGAAGTTATGACCACACTGTATATTTGTGAAGTCGACCAGCTTTGCTGAACAAACGGTATCTAGAAGCGTTTTAAGTTGAGCGCTTCGTTACTAAGTAGTTTCTGAATTTACTTATTTGCTCTAGGAGACGAGGAGTAAGTCTTGTGTGTTTTAATTTTGTTTAATTGTTTGCTTTGCCTCCGATAACGCAAATAAGTTTCGAAGTAATCGATCCTTTTTCCTGTAGGAATATTTAAATTGCTTTTACAACTGCCGAAAGCTCTTTTGCCAGAGAAGAAGAGAGAGAACCAATCATATTAAGTTTGAAGTCCGTTAATTATCGATTAATCGACTTTAGTTTTCTAATGGTATACGAAAATCGAGGATTGAAACTGAACAGGTTGCACAGATTAAGGAAAATATCAACGTGATAATCGATTGCGCCGTTTGACCTCACATTCCAAGGAAGAAAGAGCATTGCTGGACTGCCGAATTTGGAAATTTCATTTCGACTAATTGGGTAAGTAGAATGAAGGATTGACATTTAAATGAGTTACAGAAAACCCGTCCGATTGAACTGGGGCTTATTTCAAAAGAAGCGCTCCTCAAAAATGTGAATTGACATCGGTCCCATATTTTTCTGATTTCAGGGAAATGAGTAATTAATTAAAAACAGATAATTTGTTCGAACGTATCGAAGGTTTTGCGTACGAGACGGGAATTCCAGTTTGTCCCTACTCAATTGGACGTTTAGATAAATCGTAAACGCACTATGCAATAGGATCTTTTGCCTTAAGTACGTTAATTTACAGAGCAAATTTCTGCGAAACCGGACCGGATTTAGATCTTTTACATTTTTGTATCTTCGCAGGTACGTTTTGTAAGTACCGAAATGTTGAGCTTTGCCGTAAAAATTTACTTTGGCAATTGGCTTGCCGCACTGGGGCTTTTAGCGAACTTTTGCTACCGCTCCGTTACTTTCAAGGTAAGCCTTTTGTTACGTTACACTGATTTTCGCCATCTTCTGAACCCGTCCGATTGCTGGAGCCGTTTGTCCGGTTGCGCTCGAGCCCGTTCGTCCCTTTGTTCGCCAGTTCGTTCTTTTCACGAGGTTGCCGCCGACTACCGCTACTATATTAATTTTTATAATTTGTATAGCATTATTTTTTAAATTAAATTGCATAATCCACTCATACTTATTTAATTTTAAAAGCTCACTGATTGTGCGCGAACTACCCCAAGTGAGTCGCAAGAGTAGTGGTCTTATTTGGAGAAATTTCGCCATAAATTGAATTTGTTTTCAAACCTTGGGCAGATGTCTTCGGATTCGGAAGGTCGGATACGCTTGAGCTCGAGCTCGAGCTCGGCAACTTGACGAATGTGCCGTTTCGGTTTTTCTAGCGGGCGAAATACAAGTACCCAATGCAACAGGAGAGCAGGCATCTTTAGCTTAACTTCGAGAGCAAGCACGTACCTACAACTATGGTGTGACTGTGAGAAAATTCATTCGCGCAACATTCGCAGTTAAAGTAGGTATACCGTTTCTAGTGATCCAAAGAAACACTTGAACCAAGTTCAGTAAATCGCCGGGCGAGATAAGACTGTTTAATAGCTTGATAAATGGCAGGGCCGTTTGGTTTTTGGCGATTAAAATGTCCGCGAATAAAAAGTTCTGGGTCATCGCACATCGCAACGCTTTACACACCAAAACGCGACCAAATCAATTAATACTAAAACCCATCGTGCTAAAGAAATTCACAATCTTTGATTGTAACTGCTAGTTAAAAAGGTAAGTTCACCCAAGTCTAGTGACATCATTTCGAGTAGCTCGGTTATCAGCAGAATATGTTAAAAATTTAAAGATTAGTGCATTTACTCGCAGCAAAACCCAATTAATAAATGGGTAAAATTTATATTGATTGGCTTTTTATTCCTGTGCATAACCAAGTTCTTGGACCCCGCGCTTTCGAAAATCTGATGCAGATTTTTCTGTGTTTATAATAAATACGGACAAGTCTCAATGATGTAACTAGAATTAGACCCCCTTTAGAAAAAACTGTTTGCCCCCCCCCTCCCCGTTCGAATTGTATTTTTTAACAAAATGTTTTTGGTCAGGAAAAGCAGTTATAGTGTAATTCCCGTGGGAGGAGCTTCTTATTTACCTCACTGGTCATCAGCAGACAAACATGCATTTAAAAATAGGTAAAAATACTTACATTGGCTAATTTTTTTTCAAATTCTACCACCATTCTAAGTTCATCTTCGGCCGTCGTTTTATTGGCGCCTAAAAGTAGTGCAACATTGGTCATATATTTATGATAGGCTTCCAAATCACCTTCACTACTTGATTTTAAATAATAGTCTCTACTAGGTAGCGCCAACTGCATTTGATCTAGCTGCAACAGTTAAAAAACTACGCATTAATTAATTTTGCGTGAAGCAGAAACAAATAAAAAAAAAACGTAAATGTTACGACGTATTAATTACAACGTAAAAACTAATTAGTCTACGTGAACGGTGGACTTCCTTTGCGGCGCGACAATTAAACATGAAGAGAACTGTAATAAAATTGTGGGGTATTTTCATTTCGAGGTACATAAATTGTTCTTTTCATCATAAATACAAAATACGCGCGACCGTGCCTTTAACTAACCCTTACAACTGGAAATGAAAAGTTAAAGTGAAATTCCTCAAGTTCGTATTTTAAATGAAATTGCAATTTAAATGTTTCCATTTGCATTATTTCTTTACTGAATGTTGGCATTAATTTTTCTTTTTTAGTGGCAAGAGAAAAATAAGCCGAGGGGAACGCGAGTTATTAGTCGTGGCTGAAAAGATCAAAAACTGTTTTTTTTTACAAAAGCGGTGCTAGGGACGCCATAATTCGTTGCAATCTTTCGTAAAATGTATGAAATCCGAGTATAAGGTTATAAATAAGGCCGGGGAGGCTTTGATTAAATTGGTCGATTACGTATAGTTGTACATCCGTGTATCTGTTCTTTGGGAATTACCACAGCGTTCCTGTTAGCAATTCATTACTCAAAACGGGCGTTTATTGTAAACCGTTTCGAGCCTTCGACTTATTTTCGTTATTTCGAAATGTTTTGGAACAAATATCTACTATAGTGTATTCAGAAAATAATGTTACTTTTCTCATTAACGCTGGGGGTGTTCCCAATAGTATTGCGATAAATGGTATTATTGGATTTGCATCTTAAATGTTTGGGAAAAACCGGATTTTTAAGTACGAAAGTCGTTCAAAACAATCCTTACGGCTTGTTTAAATGAATAGAACAATAAGCACCAATCACCCACCAGTCAGCAGTTCTCAACAGAATATAAATATTACACCAGTTACGATACGAAATCATGCTTGTATTTTAGCAGTTCACATTAAAAATTACAACATTTGTTACAAATAAACATGAAAATATGTACATTATTTACTTAATTGCTACCTATTATAATAATCGACATGAATTAAGTTCATATGAATTCACGCGTCGTTGTCACTTTCACTTAAATAATCGCTTTCTTCATCACTTCCTGTATTTACAGTAAAAACCAAAGCCCTTACATCGTCTATAATTTTTTCACGATTGAAGGTATCCTTGATTATTTCTTCTGTATGGGTTACGCAGCGATTCCACACGTCTGGAGTTACTTTAGCTAACGCGTCGTTCCAGGTTTTAAGAACATCTTCTGGTCTTCCCGGCGTACCAACAATATGGTCATCGTAAAACTTTTTCGAAATTCCCCATACCAGTTCAATGGGATTGAAATGGCAATGGTAAGGCGGCAAACGCAGAACCTCGTGGCCATATTGTAATGTCATTTCATCGACAACATATTTAGTTATGGTTGCTTGACTGTGATTTTTTACAATTTCTAACAATTCGGCCTTAAACATCGCAGTACCAAATGGTCTATTCTTCATTTTCAACCAATTCGAAATTTCCTCTTTGGTTGAAGAAGCTGTTGGAATCTTTTCACTTTTCCGCGTGTGATAAGATGCATTGTCTAAAACAATAATTGAGGGCTGAGCAAGTTTCTTTAGGAAAGATTCTTCAAACCATTTTTCAAATAGTTCGGCGTTCATATTGTCGTGGTAATCGAACGATTTGTTGGTACTCGAAAATATTAAGCTGCTGCCTTCTATAAACCCATTTCTGCCACCAGCATGAATAATTATGTATCGTTTACCATCTGAAGCCTTATGAGTTGTTGCAAACTTTTAGCGCGGTCATCTTGCCAAGTACGCTTTGTTGCGCCTCTGCTAAACACCCAGGTTTCGTCTAAAAAAACGAAATCATGCGGAATTTCGGATTCGAGATTTCTGATGTATTTTCGCAAAAACACATTCCGCATGGAAACCACATGACTTTGTTCACACGAACCCCGTCTGCTATTGGTCATCTTAAATTTAAAGCCCATTTCTTTCAGTGCATAGAACAAGCTTGTTCTGCCCAAATCACACAAGTCTTTCAATTTTATCACCGCCAACAAAGTATCTAGAGTTACGTGCTCTTTATTTGCGTACATATCATAAATCAGATATCGGATGGTATGCTTTTTATTTTCTAGTAGGTCCGTCCTACGTGGTTTAGAACGGCGATATGGATTTCTTTTTAAATCACTTCCAATCTCTCGCATAGCACATGTCCTCACAACTGTTTGTTTCGATACTGCACCGCATCCGCTGTTCTTTGTTGAACTGCCATTACTGAAGTAAGTACTCCACCATGATTTTTTTCTTTTACAAAATAATCATACACGTTCAACTAAATTTTACGTTTGGCCTCAGTGGCGTCCATTTTGACCAGGTTGTACAGGAAACTAAGTGAGTATAACAATTCAGTTGCAATATATATAGAACCCCTTCCTAAAGACATTAACAAATATTTTCTTATTTTCTTTTACTTATAAAACATTAATATTGATTACAATAATTAGGAAGTCATTATGGTACAAGTACAAATCTAAATATAATTAACTTCTGAGGTAAACAAGCGATTATTGTATTGAAAGTGATAACGATAATACCCCTAGCACAGTATGTACATATTTGCATATCATTACATTATATTATGTATTACGTACCATTTGAATATCGTAACGGGCGATCAAAAATGAGTTGCTGTCGAGTCGCCTTTGGAAGTTCAAGTTAAATACGATTTCCCATGTAAACAAAAGTTCCAAAGGTGACTCGACAGCAACTCATTTTTGATCGCACAGTATAAGTTTTTAGCGCATTTTACGAACGTAAAATTACCGTTATTTTACCATTTAAAGACAAGCGTGTTCAATCACAGATTAATCTGGGATTAATCTAGAATTAAACAATATTAAGTAATTCATGTAATAAGTAGGTATTAAGACATCATTATTATGCATAGATAAAGCAGGTCAATTGAGTAAGGCATGAAAATGCAAATAATAGAATAATAGTATCGCTGAGCTAGGTAAACAAATGGTAGAACTAGGACAACAATTTTGTATATAAACGTGTAAATATTATGAATAAACGAGTATTATAGCTTAGGCTGTTTGTACTCATTTGGGGTGTAAGGTTCCAAGTCTACAATTTGGCACAGTGACGGGTGCCGCCTTACAATCTACCCCAAAACTATCTTAATCTCATACTGAGATTAAACAAGCGTTATACCTTCGTATCGAAATTGGTGTAATATTTATAATTCGTTGAGAACTGCTGACTGCTGGGTGATTGGTGTTTATTGTTCTATTCATTTAAACAAGCCGTAAGGATTGTTTTATACGACTTTCGCCCTTAAAAAATCCGGTTTTTCCAATACATTTAAGATGCAAATCCAATAATACCATTTATCGCAATACTATTGGGAACACCCCCAGCGCTAATGAGAAAAGTAACATTATTTTCTGAATACAGTATATAAACATTCCCCCATATAACATTGTTGGGGTTTGCACTTCGTTTTTCATGCAAAAGAATCGAATCGAATCGAAAAGACTCTGACTGAGAAGTGGAAAAGTTTACAATTATTTGTCGATGACAACGGAAAAATTTCTCCCTTGCAGTACACTCTTACAGGGTGGTTTCGTTGATCACTGGATCACAAATCTTATAATAGATTATAGTTTACTTCCTTATAGGTACTTTTCACTTCGGTGCTAACATGACTCATTTTTCAGTCTATTTCACCAGTGCTAAATGAAACTCACACTTTTTATTCTTGTGGTTGACCAACTCCGCTCACGGTTCAACGCACAATTCCTGACGGTTCTCCCAGAACTCCCACTCTTGACGTTTTTGATTGTCACCTATACTCAACGTGGAATAATTTCCTACTGATGTTGCGAATCCCATACAACCTGTAACCTGTAATCTGAATCAATCACGCCATATCCCACGACTCACTGGCGCCTTGAGTTTTCAAACGCATTTACAATCTCAAGACCGTATTCAAGGACAACTGGCCCACCTAACACGACCAAAAATATTTATGAAATCTTACCACTATTATCGTTTAAAACACAATCGAGAAACGAATCAAAATCGGTAAAAAATAATAGTCAAAAGTTTGTGAATCCCGAAACATCCCTTTGCCCTCCAAACTCCATCGCTAGGGCTACGGCTGATTTACTGTTATTTAGTCGCTTCCTACGACACGCAACATTACCGATCATTACAACACTAGATTTTTTGTTTTACATCTAGGGAGGGCTTTGATAAATTTGAAAGAGAGAAATGAAAAATGAAATGTCCATCCGGAAGAAAAAATAAAAAATCTAAAAAAATTGAATGAATAGAACAATCCGAATAAACTGACTACTCTGGAGCGTCTAAAATCCCGGCAAATTGAAGAAACAAAAAATCCAACGAATTGTAAGTACTTACACGACTTTAAAGAGTAGCAAGGATTAAAAGAAGAAGAATCTGACGTATAGCTAACAAATTCGAAGGATTCCAAAAGCGTGAAGATTCCGAAGAATTTGAAACATACAAAAAACCTGAGATATGAAGCATTTAATTGATATAACTAGAAGAATAAAAACAAAAATTCCGAAAAAATGCAATAGTCGGAAGAACATGAAGACACCGAAAAACCAAAAACATCCAAATAGGCAATCAAAGGAATGACGAATTATCCACAGGGTTGGAAGGATCTGAGAAATTTAAAGAAAACAAGAAAGCTGAATAATAAGAGTAAAAAAATCTGGAATATGTGCGTTTTGTCCATTGATTTCATTTGTAACAGTTTCTTTATCTTCTCAAGTAAATATAAATTATTATTGGCCGAGGCTGAGTATCACTGTAACTTTTGATTCAGGACCACTGGTGTTGCAGCTGATTCGGTTAACGAGTACGCGCCCATTTTCTTTAACTGCCTGTTCACTAGCCCATTGATCGAATTGATTTTGGTGGTGTATAAATGTAAGTGAGTTTTCTCCTTCAGGGAGTGTAACACGTTAATTAATGCAGTCTATCGTGAATCGGAATACAAGTATTTGGTTCCTTAAGCAACCATCATTTCCATGTGTGTTCCTTGTGTCTTTTCTTTGTTTTAGAGCGAATTGCTGGAAGCGTCGGAACGGAGCCCTCTTCCTATGCGGGTCATTTCTTCGTTAAAGGTAAGATGGTTATTATTATTTCATGGGATACTTGTATTTTCAAAATCGGAGCCGTTTTGTCATAATAATTTTACGTTTCGGCGATTTTTTTAAAGCTGTAACTTGACGTGTTAAGTGTTGATTAATTTTAGAGAAATCACTGCCTCTGGTGAGACGGGCTGGATGGTTAGGGGGCGTGATCTCCTGGAAATCTTCACGTCTTCACTATGGATATGATATTTGGTTAGCTGTATGATCTACGCACTGGACCCGGCAACAGCGTCCAGTGACGCCCAACTACATACCATCCCTTCCGAGCTAACTATCTTCAGCGGCGGCCAACTAGAAGACCCCGCCACACTCTTTACGACACTCGAAGAAGTGGCCCCGAAATCGGACCCCAAGGAGCAACTTAGCGATAGCGACAGAATGGTGGAATACCCATTAAACTTCTCCTGAAACAAGCCTTCCTCGAGAAGTAGGTACGATAACGACGTGATCCGCTTGACCCTCAACTCCGAATTCCTAGCCAAGGAGCAGAAGACAGAATCCGTCTACACCTTTCTCCAAAGAAAGGCGAAGATAGCAAATAGTATCAACTACCGACGTTGCTACACCCCAGAATCCGTCGGTTCTTAGGCGGAACCAGTCAAACGATGCTGCCCAACCTAGCAAAATTTACCAGCAACATCGAAACAGATATTAAGTTGATGCACAATAACGCATCTACTCGTAACGATCCCAAATGCTGTTTCCGCCCGCGAAATCAATTCCATCGGGACTGCCCAGTATGTCTCACCTACCAAGCAAACGGGCCAGCAGCGGCCTGAATTTCCGGCCAACAATACAATTGGTCCACTGCGCACCCAACGGCGACCTACCAGCACTTTTGGTTACCGTGGCCGGGACCGAAGTACCGGGTGACTCAATAAGACTGTTCCTCGGCCATATCTGCGCCGTATGACTTAGGGGGAAAAAAAATTATTGATTAAATCGGTTATGAAGAATCGCTGGAAAATATTTTCAAATTCTAAAAATGACCAACAGAGGGCGTAGCTTAAATTTTAAAATTGCATTTTCTTTAAATTTCGCATAATAAACTAAAAATTCTTTTTTCACATTTTTAAAAAGAACCAGTTTATCCATCATTTTCGTAAAAACAAAAACTCAGTTATTTCAAAAACAAAGATGGCGTGGGGCGGGCGTTCAATTGTTTTTGCAATAACCTGCTTTAACTTCTTAACCGTTTGACCGATTGTAACAAACTTGGTATCATTGAAAAGAGCATTCCTTCGGCAACAAGAATCAACCAAAATATAGTTAATTTACACAGCAGAATAATTTACAAATTACGGCTGTTATTATTTTATAATGCATCGTGTTTCATTTGTTTAATTTTCCAAGGCCTACCTAATTGTAGGGTGCTTTTCTTTCGCGCCATCGACAAATACCAGAAATACGTAAAAAGTAGATTTAAGATACAATTTAAGCATTTTAATTAATTATAATTAATCTCATTTTCCCAATATTTTAGGTTAGGAACGAGATTTTGAAAAACGGTTTTCACTGGCTTCTTTGGATGTTATATGGCTACTTTTTCATAAAGAAAAAGTCATATCATTCCATTTGATTTTTTTAGGATTTTGGGTCATAGTGTCAATACTAGCCCCCTGGCGGAGAAGGATTCAACTAAATTAACTATATTTTGGTAGATTCTCATTGCCCAAGGAATGCTCTTTTCAACCATACCAAATTTGTTACAATCGGTCAAACAGTTAAGAAGTTAAAGCAGGTTATTGCAAAAACAAACAAACAAAAAAACGAATTGGAGTTTTTCTTTTTACTAAAATGATAGATAAACTGGTTCTCTTTAAAAATGTGAAAAAATTTTTTTTAGTTTACTTTGCGATTTTAAAGAAAATGCAATTTTAAAATTTAAGATGGCAGTTACGCCCTCTGTTGGTCATTTCTAGAACTTGAAAATATTTTCCAGCGATTCTTCATGACCGATTTACCCAATAATTATTTTTACCCCTAAGTCATATGACGAACGGTTTATGGCCGAGGAACAATCTTATTGGGTCACCCGGTACAGGCCCTATTCGACACGGGGTCTACACACAATTTCATCCGAGAGGACCCCGCCGGCAAAATATCCCTTTATCGTCTTGTATAATAAATATTTAGCTATTTAGCACCTGACATTGAGTTAATTTTACGCAATTGCCTTACAGGATTGTTTCGCGTCAACCCCATTTAATGAAATGTTATTCTCTTACAACTAAGGCGATATTATTAAGAAAATAAGAACCATCTCAAGTTTTTGAATAAAATATTATCAGGTTTATTTTGATGTACGAGTGTAATTTGGGGGAATATTTCCCGAACAAACATTACTTGTCAAATTGACGTTACCTACTTATGTCGGTGTATTACAAAAGTGTCCAATCGAGTTGCCAGTTGCCATGGATATGGACTGTGCAATTATCGCAGGGCTCTTTCGCTTTAATTACCGCTGTAATTGAGCGATAATCGTACACCTCATATGGGATTTAATACATCTGAGGGAAATATTCGAATTAATTAGTTTTCACGGAGCGATAAGGAACGGTTTATCTCAAGATCGCATTTAAACTTTAAAAACACTTGACGCAATTGTTTCCAGATGTCCCTAATCTTTCTTAAACGTCGTCTAACTTTACAATAAATCAAAACAAAATATAAGGCGATTATTTTAAACAAAAATTAAACTAATAACATTAACATAATAGCATTAATTTTGAAGTAAATTAATGTAAAATTATGAAATTATTGCGCAGTTTTATTTAGGTTTTCCTAATTTAATATTTGAAAACGATGTTACTTACTATCAAAGCGAAAACAATTAAACTGTGCTCGTTTCAACATCGAAATACAATAGTAACAAAACGTAAATATTGACATTAGCTTCGTTTTGGTGTAGTCAAAGACAATACTCGTCAGACCAACTTACAAATGTAAAGCCCATTTATCGTGATTAGGTGTAGCGATTTGAAACGAGGCAAAACCCCTGTAATTGTGGTTTCGACGTAATTTACACGTCGGTCGGTTGCGGTTTAGCGCTGTTGAATTGCACATGTTCTTATCTTCAATTACGATCTCAAATTGCACCGGGGGATGAAATCGTGTCATTTTATTTGGATACGAAGTTTAAATTAAAATCCCAGTAGCAAATAAAAAGAGAACCCAGGAAATGAATCGCAAACGAGACAAATGCAAATTTGTGGCCGGATTTAGAGGTAACAAATAACATGTTAAGTTAACCGATTTTAATTAGCAAGATAATCGCTTCTGACCCCGATAAAGTAAGCCGAGGTTTAGAGCTGCCAACCGTACGTTGTAGTATGTAATGAATAAATTTCCGACTGAAACGTTTGGAACTTTACAATTTCGTTACAAGTTACAACAAAGTGACTATCGAATTTCGACAAACCTGAGAGGATCGCTGAATTTTTATGAACCCACGTCTCATTCGTCAGTCCTCAAAGAGATGTAGCCATTTCTCGGCAGAATAAGAAACTAAACGCAAAAGAAAAGCAAATAATGTTTTTTTTTGGGAATTTGATCGTGCTTAAGCCTGATTTATTACATTCGTCAGAAATAGAAAATTAATGGCATGTCTATACCGGATGAGAGATAGTTACCTGTATGATATTTACAGAGCTGTTCTTATCGTCCGGTCCTACCCATTGTTCTATAAGCACACCTTCGTTAAAATCGCCCCTTAATCTCCCCAACAGAATTTCTATCGAAAATGGTGGTGGTTCCCAATTCGAAACTGTCACGGGCCATCCCCCTAATGATGATAAAACATTCCTCAAGGGATCGTCCCCAATTTTTCGTATTTGCGCTGGAAATCGCAAAAAATTGTTAGACAATAAAGGGGGTTAATTTGTAACTTACGTATATTCATGCACGTGTTGTAAAATGTTTTCGCCTTCGTCGTAGCCTCATTGTCGTCAGCGTTGATCGATTCTTCCAAAACACCTGTTTAATTATATTTACTAAATTGTATTTTATAAAATAATCTGATTATACAGAATTGAAAGCGTAATATAAAGAAGCTTACAAAAACACAAAAAAGTAAGGAAAACTGCCTTTCCTTTGAAGCTTCAATCGACTCAATTTACATTTCTTTCCACGTCGTTTAGTTCGAGTTCACTAGCTCGTAACGCGGAAAATACTATTATCTCTTGCGGATATACCCAAAAAGTTGGTCTTTTCGAGATTACCTTTCAGTATAACTTGTAATTGGTCCGCCATAACTTCAAAAGTACTAATCGAACTTCTGTCTTCGGGAATAACGTGATTTTTCTTCCACGTGCCGCAGGCGTATTGAAAGAAATCCTGACAGGGATCCGTCGAGTGATCCATCGCCGACAGAAGTGAGGCGGCTAGAAATTTCCACAACTCAAGTTAGTATTTTATTGCGATAGTTTTACGTAAGTTTTAGAAGGCATTTCCACTTTACGATAACATAAATAATCGTTCATTAGGTTAAATACTTGCAGGCACGCGATGTTTACCCTACATTTTAATTTAACCCCTTACATCGGAATAGAGCAACTTTTGAACTTATCTTAACGATCAATGGGCAAACTTAAGTTTGGTATAATATTGCCATTGAAAGTTAACAGCGGCGGCGAGGCGTAGTCCACTGAAGTTATCAATCGATGTGCGAATCTAATTCTGAACACGCGCTGATTATTATCAAATATTTGCTTTACAACAAACGTTTCGCCGTTTCGCATTATGTACACATGCAAAGCTATGCGAAAAACAAAAAATAAAAGAGTGCATCTTGAACGGTAAATCCTTCAAGACTGTCAAATTCGATTCTCTGGTTTGGAAACTCCATGGCAAAATGAATGCTAATATTTTGCAAGAGGGTAACTACCCCTTTTCTATATGACGAACAGAGCTTTTAAGTACAATTCTGGAAACTTAATTTTAACGTATTGGTAATATTAGGATTGAGGCGATTTAAGGCAACTAAGGTAGTACAGTATAGATACCTACATATATGTCTTTAAGTATTTAATATATCGATTAGGACATAAATCGTGAATGTCTATTAATATTTCTCGTTGCTTCTCTTAATTTTAGGGGTTTGTGGTCCACAATAACAGACTAGTAGGCTTCTCGAAATCAACTCATAAGTGGTCGCTGTGTACCGCTTCTACCTATAGTAGTGAAAGAGAAAATGCAATAAAATGAAGCGCTTTCAGATAAGACTCAAAACGCCACAGTGTCGCCGGTTCTAAACTTCTACGAAACATGAAGGACAGACTCTGATATACCCCTAAATAAAAAACGTAGCCGAGGCTTGGTTTGCGTGAGACAAATTCGTATAATCGAGGCATACGGAAAATTTAAACAGCCCCGTAATCGTACCTGAGACTGTTATTGCGAAAATTGAAATTAATTGCTGTATTACAAGGGAAACGGGGCCGCAGATATTCGACGAAAGTTTTGTTGTGTGTACATTTAAATCCGTTTCCAGTTATTTTGAACCGTAAGTATAGTGCGAATCTGTAGCATTGCTAATACGCGAGCATTATGCAGCATTTGATCAGCGTGATCGCGTTTATATAAATTTTACCACGAACGCATTGGGGTCAAAGGTACTGAACGTTTCGTTGCGTTTATGATGAAGTGTTTATTAACCAAATTTGTACGCATCTCTTGTTTATACGGGGTGTATGGATTAAACGACAACCGGTAAAAAGATGATTAATTAGTAGATACTTTTGCTGGCTGTTAACACCCTAAGTGTATAAGGGGAAAATTGACATTTCCATACTGCGAAACATTGGTAAATTATTTCAGTGGTTAAACGAAATTTCAACTATTAAACTCCTGATTCAAGTCGTCAACAATCTTTCAAAATTCACTTTCAACGAGTAGTCAATTAGTCAATAGTAAATTTAACATTCCTGAAGAGGTCGACCCACGGAAATTTATTTCGTGAACAGATTTGTATATTTTTTATGAATGATGAGCGAAAAAGGATTTTGGTGATTTTTATTCATTGTGAAATATAGAATCAACTTTCCGCAAGGTAAGAATCATTAATCATTACGTAGAGATTAAAATTTATTTTTTCTGTGACGGGAAAAACGTTTGACATTTTATCTCTGTTGACAGGTAACAAAATGTCACTTTTTATGAAATTACTTTTTTCCCAGGGAAAAAAGTGAGTACTTTTTGAAAACTTCAAATTTCTATAAATCGATACGACTTCAATATATTGTTTTTCCCGTCGCAGAAAAAAATAGTGTATTATACACGGGAAACATGTTAGATTTTAGCTCTCGGTTTTTTGTCTCCCTCCGCTTCGCGTCGAGAGACAACACAGCTTCGAGCTAAAATCTAAAACTTTTTTCCCTATTTATGCGTGCCGTTACAGCAGTCGGCAACAATAAATAATGTCAAAATAAATACAGAACCGAAATATTTATTCAGATTGGATAAGTGATGACTGATCAGGATCGAATCAGAATCGTTTCAGGCTCGGATTAAAATCCGATGAGCAACAACTTGGGAAACGCGCGATAATTGGGATAGAATCGGACCGAGATCAGATCATAGTCGGATCACGATAGCATCAGGATAAGAGCAGGATCGGATCAGAATCGCTTCACGATAGGATCAAGATAGGATCATATTGATCAGGATATATGGTCATAATCAACTCATGATCAGCTAGTGATCGGACTGGTACTGGACTGAACTCGGATGACGCTTTAGACCCGGATTGAGGCGGAATCGGAAGTGTATCGAATAAAGATAGGACCAGAAACGACTCCAGATCAGAGGGAGATCGGGCTGGCTCCAAATCGGTATTGCACGAGAATCGGATCAGGGTCTAACTAACATCAAAGTACGATCGGATAAGGATTGGGGGACGGGATTGCAACAATTTTACATTAGGATCGGACCCGTTTGAATTAGGGCTAACTCAGGATCTGTGAGGTTGGGATCGGATCGTATCATAGTATGAGGATCGAATACAAATCGGATCAGGGGCAACTCAGGATCGAGTTTGGGTTGGGAAGGAATAGAATCAAGGTCGGATCAAGGTCGCGTCAGGTTCGGAGCGGAGCAGCTTTCATATGGCGTTTGAAATAAGTAATTAGACTTAGGGTTGTATTGCAATGAAATGTCAAATTTGGAAATTTTCAAACGCGTTTAATTCCATTTTTTAACAATAGAAACACACAAACACACGTTTGGGTGTATGCGTAGTGACGATATCAAATTTAACGTCAATTTGAAAAAAATGTACAAAAATAGAGCATCACATTTAAAATAATGAGCTAGAGTCACTTCCGATGAAACGATATTGTAGCGAGTGTTACAGACATCGGGGCGCCAGCAGCCCCCATCGAGGCGCAATGAAAGAATAGTAACCGATGATAAGGTGTGAAAGCGAATATGATGTGTTTTTTTCGAGAAATGCGACATGCTAACTGCGCGAGTATTCTCCTTCTAGAAACTTCCCGTATAAGCAAATTGAAGCGTGTTTAATAGTCGTGTCTTACATCTTCTTTTCATTATTTTAATGCTATAGTTGCCATCATTTATTTCCAATGAACGTAAGGAAAAAAAGTAAAGGTACACAGCGACGCCACTGATTTTTTAAGGCACTAATCCATTTACCAATTTGTAACAAGTAAGTCCTTTCGTTCATGTTTCTTTCTTATTTATTCCAATTTCTGCTACATGTACCGTATCGATCGCCCACCAAGGTTTAGAATCAATTTATTTTATTTGTATTTTTTTTATAAATAAACACGTTAAATCATTCGTGTCGTTAAAGTATGCCTACCGCAACTGAATGATAAAGAAGCAACTTCAATTCCATATTGAAGAAATTATTTTCGAGGATTCTATAGTCGGTCTGTGCAGGAAGCAATTGGAGGGTTAGTAATTTCCAATTTCCATTCTGATTGAACATTAAAAGCCTTGACCCGAGCACACCTAGAAGTTAAAACTCCTGGTGCACAACACTAGAAGTATAATGAACGTTTTAGTTTAATTGCGTCGTAGTTACCGCTACTTTTTCGTAGTTATTACCACTTTTCGTAGTTTCGCCTTGTTTTAGAATATAAACAATTGCAGTTAAGTGGTGCCTTAAAGAGGAATAAGAACTGTTTCGGTGATGTCGATCGAATAATATTTTTGTCAACACTTCTTTGCAGAAATTATCATTAAACACGTTTAGGTTTCCGATATCCGATTTTGGAATTTATTTTGTTCAATTCCTTATGGCATGATTTCTTAGAATTCAATTCTCGCCTAACTGCCATTAAACGTCCTCCTCGCTACATATATCGACGAGGACATCGACGTGGATTCGTTTTGAAAGGAAAGCATGCTCTGTATATTTTCATCGTTTTCTTATATATTCACTTACGTTAATTAACAGTCTAAAATTCAAGAATAATTGACATTTATTCAACTCGCCAGAGCCACCAAGTAAACTAATACGGAAGTTAAAGACCGATTATATTTAATTAACCCAATTTAACCAAAGTCAAAGTAAAATGGCTAATTTAATTACCTAGTCGATCAAAGCACGAATCAACTGCCTCAAACACATATTTTAAATCGCAAATAAAATGGAAGATGGCGAAAAACTCTACCTCTACGTCTCATTTGCAGTTATACCTTCACGCACACTGCACACAGCATAAATTAGCGGTTTCATTTAGATTTCAACCTGGGTACTTCATCCTTTTCAGGATACAGAACTGAAACTAAAAAATAAAAAGCTTGAAAAATGCGAGTGGGGTAGGTACAACTGGAGGGATTCGCAAGGGGAGATACTCCGCTACCGCTAAAAAGGAAATCGCGCCTACATTTTTCAGTTCTATTATCAGATTTAATGTTCCATTCACAAATAAGGCTCATTAACTGACATTTTCAATGTCCTTTTCGATAGTGTTGTCAATTCACTGTTTCGTTTTCCTAAAGAATATTGGTTAAGAACGGGAATGGTAAGGTAAGTATCCAATAAAGATAGCAAATTAATTTAGTTTTTCTAGAGCGAATACTGACTAACGTTTTAGGGCGGTGTAAAACTCTCGTGTTACATTTATGAATAATTAACAAGCACGTTTCGTTTTATCTTCGTTGGTAAACTTGCTGTTGTTGTTATACGGGTATCTGTATAATGAGTTCTTGTTTACTTATACTGTAAAACCGATAATACGCTAAAACTTCCAATTTACCTGCGTTTGATCCTCGTTACATATTACATGAGGAAACGTGTCAAGATAAAAGCTCGACAGCTCTAACTGGGAAAGTGTATGAATGAATGATTAAATAAACATTTTTTTACGGGATCCACTTTATTATTATGCAATGGAAAAGTTTCATTTTCCGCCGTTGAGGTAGGAGGTACTAAAATGTTCAAATTGAAAAACCGTTGATGTACAAAGATTCTTAATAAGTTTTGCATAATACGAAGATTAGAATTCGTTTAAAGTTAGAGGTAATCGTTTATTATCCAGCTCATCAAAGTTTAATTAAGAACACCTCTACTATTCTGTACCTAACTTGGAAACATGACCTGAATTGGAATTTCTGTATATAAGTACTACATAACTACACATTATTGAATCGCTCGAAGTAGGTAAGTCAATCATTTCTAAAGAAATGAAATGATTGCAAAAATTAGACGAATGTGGCATTTCTTTAAGTTCGCATTTTACCATTCTTCATCAATGGAGAATTAATTTTTTTAGGAAGTGCCTTATATTCATTTACAAATTACAGATTTACAAAGGATGTGATGAAAAATAATATGTAATTTCTTAAGCACAAACTGTGTTCGTGATGGCGGCCGAAGTAGACGTGTAATGCTGCAAAAGACTCCATAATTAAGGAATTGACATTGAAAGTGGAAAATACTGCACATCATGGTGCTAAGGCGAACAACTTTGGTCGTAAAGTTCAATATCCGTATCCCTCAACATCTAGCCCATCAGACCAAAGGAAATTGCACAGAAGCAAACGTAAACATCGGACCTAATTCGAACCGCAAGCACACGTGCATAAATCTATGTTGCTTCCGAAACTACTATACCTATACGGATTGATATGAAGTTTCTCTTCTTAGTCTATGAAAAATGATGATTCGAAAAGGTTCAGAGGGATGGTATTACCTCGAACAGTTCTAAGTGTGTAATGTTCTTGTTTTGTGCTGATGATAGGGTAACCCGTACTGATCATGATCGCAAAAAGGATGTTAATCACAATTATCAGTACTGTTCCGAAAAGTTGAGGCATTGGACATTGTGAAATTGGATATGGACGAAATGTATCCGAATGCTATTACAATTTTATAACATGTTGTGTTGACGGACCTGCATTCAGACCAATTAAAATCGTTGGAAAAGCGCTTTACTAAACTAAACCCTTTGGGGCTGAGTACTTTAATTTCCGGGTCAGGTAATGTCATTTTACTGACAAGTTTCGTATTAAATGGGGACATCCCGGCTACATTTTTTATTCCTGATCTACAAAGTACATTATAGGTGGTTATTTATGCGTCAAGGGCATTAAGGCGATATTTATGCCGAGGGCGACAGAGCCCGAGGGCCTCCGGCCCGAGGGATTGTAAGTCGCCCGAGGGTTAAATATTAAGTAATGCCTGAGGTGCATACAACAATGTCATGATTATGGTTTGCCCAACATTAAAGTGCTTCATACGAATCAGGTTGCATCTTTTTTATTACATAATATAACTCCGTCAATCAATTTGACAGGCCGTTTGAGGGCAGAAAGAGATGACAATCCATTATGCCCTTGGGCGTAATAGACTGCTTCATATATCACATATGACAGATATAATTGACATATAATAAAAAGACCCGTGTGTCCTCAATTTTTATTTGTGAGTAAAATAAAATCAAAATAAATTATTGAAAAGCCGTGTTTTTAGTCCGAATTTGAAACGCTTCAGTCTAAATACGTCTCAAACCTACAACCAATGACGTAGAAATGAGCCGGCAACCTTGTGCGAGGGTCTGACGTTTGTCGGATTTGACGTTTTATGAGGCAGGTTTACCTACATAACGCGAAAGTGAACAAGTGACAACTGCCTGTGACAGGTTACAAATAACATTCTCGTGCAATATTGCCAAGTCGTGATGTCATTTGAATGGTTCTAGCAGCTGATTGGTCGGGCTTATTACGTCACAGAGCCTGCCACAATCATCTCGTTTTGAATAAACCCCTAATACCGCACATGTTCATTATTTTTTTTCTAATCAGCCACTCTTTTTAAATAAACTTTTACTGTCCAAAAAATTGTTTTATGGTTTCAGGTATACGCTTATTAAATTAGAACTACGAAATTCAACTATACCTACTGTAAACCCCCATTTTACCCGAAATCGTATTTTAATATAAAATTTAAGTTTTTATATAGAACTTTTGTTTAATGTCAATCTGTCAGTGATGGCAAGAGTCATTATAGACATTTGGAGATGTCACAAATGCGGCCGGTAAAGTGACAGGTGCGGTCAGTAAAGTGACAAGCGGCAGGAAACGTAGTCAGCTCTGCCTCCGTCATGGAAACTAAAATTTCATGATAGAAAGTAGGTACGCATGAAAATGGAGGTCGTCTGACATACATTCAAAATCCTCCGATACTCCATGCTGCAGATATTTGCACTAAAAGCTTTGACATCACTATGTCTCGTCCTAAGGTTCCACTTTCCTTTTATGAGTGCTCTCTTCCGATACTTCGTTGTCAAGGTATTTTTGCTTCGACTTCACCAATAGATATCTATGTCTCGTCGAGTCGAGTCATTTTGCATTTGAGAGTTCTTACCTCCGACAAACCGTTTTCGAGATATTCGCTCTTAAAGTTTCGGTATCGCCCAGGGTATCGCCCTTTGTAAGTACCCTCTTCCGACAATCCGTTCTGGAGATAATAGAATATATCCGATCACGATAAAGGGCCAAGGAGGAGTACTATGGTTGGTAGAAATTAATTCCTTTCGTTGAGATCTTTCGTTAGAGTAGGTACCATGAAGGATAAAACCGGTTCAAGAGGGCGTGTAACGCCAGGTTCGACCCAGCGTATGAAGGCTCCAAGTAAGAATCCAGACTAAAGACAATACGCACTGCGCAGTAGTTACAAACAAGCTGCCGAAAGGCAACTAAAAGTAGCGATTGTAGATATCAATAACCCTCTGGGTAGGCTAACGGCTAACGGATACGGTACACAATCACCTGACCATGTGTCCTGACCAGCATCTGTTCGACCTAAAAGGTTTTAGGACCCGCGTTTGGGGGTTGGAGGTACTCGGGCGAGATCCTAAGGATATCGTACGAGAACAACCATTCCTTTGAGTGGTTGAAGGAGGCTGCCACAATTTTGGGAATCTGCACACCTAAAGGCGATACAGGAAGACTGCTTTCCTAGGCTCCGCAAGGCTGCCATCTGGGTCTTGGGGGAACCTGACGACCTGATGGCGCTCAAACGGCGTTTGGAGGTGCAGAATTCCTGGGCCAAGGTAGGCGACTGGTGTCTCGTCCACACAGCCGTGAAGGATCAACCTCAAGGGAAGCTGATAGTTTACGGCATTGAGGAAAAGGACCAAGCTAACCTAATCGCCAGGGGGGAAGGCCCAGCTATGGGTTATCTTCTCTATAATAGGTGCGGGTTAGTAACCCTACCGAACCTGAGTACGTCCCAAAAGGAACCGTTTTCTTTGACATACGGCCAGATAAACCTAGAACATGTGTTTATGTTCCTAGCCACCTTAAAGCTCTTCTGCTGCCACACTTATGTCTGATATCACGACAATACAGTTAAGCTGTGACATACAAGGTGAAGCTCAAGCATTACTATTACTAGCATCAACCTCCTCCTACACTCTTTCCGCTAGTCTGCGCTTTTCCCTCAGTACCCTTTCCAACCACTCCTCCCCTGCACTCTTCGCCCTACACTTCCCGCTGCCCTGCACTCTTCCTGCTGCACCCTTCCCTTGCACTCTTCTCCTCCACTCTTCTTTTGCACCATTCCTCTTACACTATTCCCGCTGCACTCTTACCACTACACTCTTCCCGCTGCACTATTCGCCTTGAACTCTTTTCGTTGCATTTCGCTGCGTTAATTACCAATTCAACCATCAACATGAAAGTTTATATTTATGTTATTGTGAATTATGAGTTGTGACAATTGACTACATTTTCTTATCTAGATATTTAGTACCAAGTAAATCCTGTGATTATTGAAATACATCTGCAACATTTCCATTTTTTTTCATTTATACAGGGTGCCCATTATGTATGGAATATAGTATATATATATATCTCGGTAAATATTGACTGTATACAAAATTTTTCTATATGAAAGTTGTTTAGCATTTTACTTCCCATAAAAGGTAGCACTGTTTTTATTTTAGAACACAAATGAATATCGAAAAACAATTGCATTTTTTTAAATAGCAATGCACACTTTGATTAGGCTCATTTGAGTTTTTTTCTCTTGTCAATGACGTACCTATCACGTTAGCATCCGTGTAGAAAAAATTAATTTTTATTTGCTTTTGTGATGCCTTATTATGGGAAATAAAATGTTAAACAACTTTCATATAGAAAAATTTTGTAAACATTGGATATTTACCGAAATATAAATACGATATTCCATACATAATGGGCACCCTGTATATATTCTTTTAAGAATATAATTAATAATCTGAATTTAATAAAATAAAAAAA